ATTCCGGATCAGCGGGGAACCTTATCGATAGGGAGCTGGTCTCTGAATGGGGGTTGCCCACCGTGCCACTGCCTTCTCCGCTACACGTCACCTCGCTGGACAATAAACCACTTGGATCAGGCAACATTATACACATCACTCTCCCCATCACCATTTTCACACTACCGGATCGTCTTGGGATTGCCCTGGCTCAGACTACACAACCCCACCATCAATTGGATCACCAAGAGGATCACAGCCTGGTCCCTCTCATGCCGGAGGACCTGCCTGCCGGTGGTTTGTTGTTCCATGTTAGTGGAGAGTCCGGAGTCCGCCCTCCAGCCGAACATTCCACCTGAGTACGCAGATCTCTCTGATGTCTTCTCTGCCTCCAAGGCTAAGTGTCTCCCTCCTCACAGGCCCTGGGACTGCGCCATTGACCTGATCATTGCTCCGGTTCCACCTCAGGGAGCGGCGAGTGCACCCAGTCCACCTCATCCCGTGCTATCACCAACATCTGGGGGGGGGGGGTACTGTCATGTCTCCTCCTATTGCTCCCCTCTGGCGCTCTGATTCGCCGGTCTACTGAGCCACCGGTCTGAATGCACCACCTCGGCAACACCAGAATGGAAACCCAACACACCCTAATCACCTCCAGCGAACCTGCACCTCATAATCTCATCACCACCCCTATATAGCCCTGGACTGTTCAGTATTGTGTTGTGTGTGATTGTTAGTGTCATGTCGTGTACTCGCTCTTTGTTGTTCTCTTGCTCAGTGTTAAGTAAACCTTTACATTGTTGATTCCTGCATCTGCGTCCTGCCTCTTTGTATCCTCAGTACTCGTCACAGGGGGTGAATACTTATGCAACAACTATATTGTAGTTGTTTAATTTTTATTAATTTGTAAAAATTGGTAGAATTTTATTTTCACAAAAATCACAATTAAATCTATTTCAATCCCACTTTGTAATGGAACAAAATGTAAATAAATCCAAGTGGGATGAATACATATGAGACCCACTGTACGGTCCTCAGTGTCGGGGCCTCTGATGGGTGATACTGTTGGAACTGTCCTGGCTTTGGAGAGCATGTCTATGTTACTGGAGTTTGCTATATCCCATAGTGAGACACTGAATTATTATTTGAAAGAGAACTTAAGGATACTTTTGTAACCCCGGTTATCTAATAATAGAGTGAGGTGTCTCACCGCATTTCCCTGCTCGCAAGAGCACAAGGAAGAGAGACATGCTTGAGAATGACCAGAGAGTGGGCGCGTGGCCACCGCTTCTCCCACTGTCTGCCTCTGTTCTGAGACTTAGACTGTGGGTTCGCCACCTGCTGCATCGCTGGGGTTTTCGCACCCCTGGCGCCAGCGTGCTGCCCTCTCCCTGCCGCGAAGCCTTGGCTCATTGAAGGGGAGATAGGGTTGCCACGTTACCTGGGTCTGCGGGGAAGGCAGAAGTTGAAGGCTTCGCCTTCCTTCTTGTGAAGTTCCCACTTCTGACGCATGGGGCGACCGTCAGCCCAAACAGTTCCTTTGGCTCAACAGGAGCATCAAGGAAGTCTGCTTTCTCCTTGTCTGACAGGCAATACTCATGGCGGGCCCACAGCCTTGTATAGCGTCTCTGGAGGCTCGGAGGTTCAGATCTGCGATGACGCAGATTTCCTCCCAGAGGTCGGGTTTGACCGTACCGATGTCCAGGAGGTTGCCCATCTCCTGTAACAGCTCTGCCTGGTACGCCTTCAGTAGGGACTTAACATTCAGCGCCCATACTGAACGTGCTGCAGACACGTAGACCTTCTGGAAGTTAGAGGTGGAGAAGCGCTCTGTCTTTCCAGGGTGAGTCGTCCCAGTCAAGGCACGGCTAGGGTTGAGGTGGTTGGCCAGTGATGGCTCGACCGCCGGAGGCTTGCTGAAACCCAGTTCCTCCATGCCCTGCATGTCCATAGTAGCGAACTCCGTAGTCAGGACCTTGTTGAACAGGGGTATGCCCCAGTTGCGTTTTGGCTTCCATCAAACAAGCTGGGACCGCCGGGAGGAGTTGCTTCCCCGGGAATGTGCGAGAGTCTCTTCCTATCAAACCAGTCCCTTTTGGCGTTGCCATCCCCTCAGACACATACCATTCAATATTGAGCTTGGCTGCTTCCCGCCTGCAGACATCGATAAGCCTGTATTTCTCATCTGGCTATTCATCATGTCAACCGCTATTATTTCTCAGAGTGAGTTCATGTAACTTATTATGTGATTTGTTAAGCCACATTTTACTCCTGACCTAATTTAGGCTTGCCTAAACAAAGGGGGTGTCATGTCTCCTCCCGTTGCTCCCCTCCGGGGCTCTGATTCGCCGGTCTACTGAGCCACTGGTCTGAACGCACCACCTCGGCAACACCGGAATGGAAACCAAACGCACCCTAATCACCTCCAGCGCATCTGCACCTCATCATCTCATCACCACCCCTATGTAGCCCTGGACTGTTCAGTATTGTGTTGTGTGTGATTGTTAGTGTCATGTCGTGTACTCGCTCTTTGTTGTTCTCTTGCTCAGTGTTAAGTAAACCTTTACATTGTTGATTCCTGCGTCTGCGTCCTGCCTCTTCGTATCCTCAGTACTCGTCACATAATCACACACCTATCACAAAGATGGATGCAGCAGGTAATCCTCCAGGAGTTTCCTAGCGCCTCGACCAGCACCAGCAGTAGATTGCCCAGCTGAACGCGGCCATGCAGGAAGTGCTCCAAACGCTGCATAAACTGATCATTGCTCCAGTTCCACCTCAGGGAGCGGCGAGTGCACCCAGTCCACCTCCTCCCGTGCTATCACCAACGTCTGAGGGACCCCTTGCCCTGCCGGAGCGCTATGATGGGAAAACGACGAAATGTAGAGGCTTCCTGCTACAGGTCTCACTGTATCTGGCGCGTCAGCGTGGGGCATCTCAATCGGACCAAGCCAGGATAGCGCTGTTGATTTCGCTACTGAAGGGAAAGGCGCTGGATTGGGCCACGGCAGTCTGGGAAGGAGGTGAGGCTGCGGCGCTTCCCTACTCCACCTTCCTCGCTCGGTTCAGGGCGGTGTTCGATCATTCCACGGAGGGAAAGGACGGGGGTGAGCGTCTCCTCCGGCTACAACAGGGAGAGGAGGCCATGTTCGAGTACGCCCTGAGCTTTCGCTCGGTGGCTGCGTCTTCTGGCTGGAATGAGCGTGCGCTGCGCACGGCCTTCAGGAGAGGCTTATGGGAGGACATCACGACAGAACTCGCATGTCGGGACGATGAGATGGACCTTGATACCCTCATTGCCACGTCCATTCGTCTTGACGACATGTTGAGAGACCGACGGCGTTCCCAACACCACCCAGAGCCTCGAAGCTCACCCCATCTCACCCCATCATGATCGAACAGGGAGAGTCGTCCCAGTCAAGGCACGGCTGGGGTTGAGGTGGTTGGCCAGTGATGGCTCGACCGCCGGAGGCTTGCTGAAACCCAGTTCCTCCATGCCCTGCATGTCCATAGTAGCGAACTCCGTAGTCAGGACCTTGTTGAACAGGGGTATGCCCCAGTTGCGTTTTGGCTTCCATCAAACAAGCTGGGACCGCCGGGAGGAGTTGCTTCCCAGGGAATGTGCGAGAGTCTCTTCCTATCAAACCAGTCCCTTTTGGCGTTGCCATCCCCTCAGACACAGACACCTCAATATTGAGCTTGGCTGCTTCCTGCCTGCAGACATCGATAAGCCTGTATTTCTCATCTGGCGAAGATGCTCCGCTCAGGGCATTGGAGGGCCTCGAGCCCTGGGCTTGGGCTTCCTCGTCCCCTTCTTCCTCGTCGGGGAAGAGACGGCTAATGCTGTAGCCATCTTTCTCGTTGTTAGCGAGGTCCCCCTCCCCCGCTGCTAGGTCGTCAAACAGCAGCTGAAGGTCTGCGGGGAAACCGTCCATAACCTCGGCCCAGAAGGGATGGAATTGGGGTTGTGGAACCGCCTCCTCGCCCGAAGGCTGTGAGGAAGAGATGTCTCGTGGAGGGCCTTCTCTGCGCAGTCTTCGTTTGAGGCCGGTTCTCGGCAACTCCCTACAATGCACGCAGGACTCAGGTTCAGTGAGTGCTGCCTGGGCATGTTTCACCCCCAAGCTGGCGATACACGAGGAGTGTGTATCCTTGCCTGCTATCATGGCCCCACATGGACACGGGTGTGCCGGTGTTGGGGCAGGAGCCCTGCTCGGTTCACCCTGTGAAGGGGTAGCGGGTTCCTTGCCACAAGAAAGAACACAAAGGTTGTGTACTCGGGCAAAGCTTAAGCTAGCTAGCGTATGCCTCGTGGGTTAATAACCTAGCTAGTTAGCACAATGTTAGCCAAAGAAAAGTGTGTGCAGCGTAGTCCTTCGGCGAACAAAGAGCCTCTCTTGACCGTCCAGCTGTGAAGCTCGGTCTGTCGGTCAGTCTAGTCAACATTAAGAGTAAACGTAGGTTGAACTAAACCAGAGAGGAAAGCTAACATTCCTACTGTCTGGGCAGATAGGAAGAGCTAGTGGTGGTTAGCTGGCTTTGCAGCGAGCTAGCCGGGTTAGCTAAGCCTTGCGGCAGGAGCTAGCCAAGTCTCAGTAGCTAGGTGTGTGACGCTAGCTACAACCGAGTAGATTCGTCCTGAGAACAGTTAAGCAGCAAGACAGGGATCAAGTCGTGCTGAGGAGAGCTTAGAGAGCGTAGAGATCTTCGCAAGGAAGAGAGTGAGAATGACCAGAGGGCGGGCGCGTGGCCACTTATAATGAGAGAGGGGCTCCCCTCATTGGCCATTCGACCTCTGTCTGCGAGAGACGTTGTGTGATTGGATTCTTCCGTAGTGAATTAGCTATTGAGCAAATTCCCATATGAGATACCTCACTCTGTTATCATAGAACTGGAGTTACGCAAGTAATGTTAAGTCCCTGTGGTGAGACAGGTACTACTTCCCATGTAACCGCTGGCTGGCAGTGGATGAGGATGATGGACAGATCGCCAGGGAGCTGGTGCCCGTGGATGAGGCCTTCATGAAGAGGGACGAGGATGAGGAGGAGACAGGAGCAGCCGCTCTGGGGCTTGAGCAGAAAGGTAAGAGCCTCGACCAGTGTGGGTGTTTCTGCTGTTGACAACTCCTCAGTGGTTAACATGCAAGTTGTTTTGATGATTCATATTATTAGTGTCATTAGTGTCTATAACAACTTTAATAACCGTATTATGAACAGTCAATAGCAGATATTACTCTAATTATGTTTGCTTGTTTTCTTACAGCTATGTCCACAACTCTAACCCTGAAAATAAAGACAGGAGAGAAGAAACGTGCTGGAACGGATGCCAATGTTTTTGCTATCCTTTATGGAGAAAAAGATGATACAGGTGCTCCATTATAGTGGCATTAATGTGGGCCAGTGTTATATACTTTTTTTTGGCTAATTTAAATGCATATTTCAAAAAGGCATTACATGTGTCAAAATGTAAACATGTTTGTGAACTACTAATATTCCTATCCCTAAACTCATGACTGTGTCTATTCCAGGGATAATCAACCTGAAGGCATGTAAGACCCATAAGAACAAGTTTGAGCAGGGCATGGTGGGTGAATTCACTGTGGAGGCTGTGGACCTGGGAGAGCTGGAAAAGCTACGCATCGGCCATGACAACTCAGGTGAGACCACAGGGGTTCATCCATCCACTCATATCTACCAATTAACAACGTTCAAAAGAAAATAAACATCCCCATGCTATGAAACCCCTGATCTCATGACCACCGTGTCTGTGTGTGGTGCCAAGGTGGCTCTCCTGGTTGGTTTCTGGACTGGGTGGAGATCGACGCCCCCTCTCAGGGCCAGAGACTCCGTTTCCCATGTGGCCGTTGGCTAGATAACAGAGAGGATGATGGGGCCATAGTGAGAGACCTGTACCCCAACGAACTCCAGACTGAACTCTACATGCCATGTAAGTCATGCTCTTTAACATTTAAACAGGTATGGAGTATGATACTATGTTTTTACAACACTTTCCAAGGATCCTTACAATGTACCTTGCTGTCAAGAATTGTTTGGTTTGGTGTGCAGGCTATTGTTCCAGTGCTCAGCACTAAAACACCTACAGTATTCAGCTAATCCACTGTTCATCAGGAGGACATTGATAACCCCTATGCTCTGTAGCTGTGGCACTTTAGGACCGGAGTTGGTGACTACTGATCTATCATAGTGAAACCATCTCATCTCGCTTTTCAGTTGTCCCCTATGAGATCAAGATATACACAAGTGATGTGTTTGGTGCTGGGACAGATGCAGACGTGTTTATAGTTCTTTACGGCTGGAAGGGCCTCTGCACCCAGCAGAAACACCTGTGTGTCAACAAGAGAGAGAGAAGGCTGTTCTTCGAGAGAGGAGCATACGATATGTTTATCGTGGAGGTGTGTGTGCGAGCGTATATGACTGTTCATGTCTTAAACCATACAAATGATATACTTTTACCCATTTAAGAAAATACATGTTCCCATACAGTATATGCCAAGACTACAGAATGAAATGTGAAAGTGGATGGCATTTAATCTAATGTGCTATCTGATATATGTGCCTGTAGTTGGAGGATGTGGGTGACGTCATTGAGAAGATCCGTATTGGCCACGACAACAGGGGCACCAACCCGGGCTGGCACCTAGACAGAGTGGAGATCAGACGCCTACTCAGGAAGGGAAAGGTACTGAAGCACTGCGTCTCATTCCTTCTCTCCTGGCCTCATTCACTCATGAATGGGCTGTGTCTTATTTAAAAAACATTGTCCCCTTTACCCTGTTCACTCTTTCTGCTTCTCATCTCTGATGAAAAGGTTTAAGCAATAGCTTCACCTACAGTAATCTGTACCCACATTGTGTTAATCTATTCAGTCCTATCAGATAATCAAAGTATAATTTATTAAACTAATCAAAAACCCTTCCAACATGGCTGCCCCCTCAGGGTTCGGAGACGACCATCTTTCCGTGTGAGCGCTGGTTGGCTAAGTCAGAGGACGATGGGGAGACGGTGAGAGAGCTCGTCCCCTCTGATATCATCACAGAGAAACTGCTGAAGGAAGGAAAACTGAAACATACAGAGATGGAGGTGGAGGACGCCCTTGAAAGTAGGTCCCTAGCTGCCTATACATGGTCACATGAGAGATATCCTCCCTCCTGTTCTGTTACATTGAATTTACATTAATTACTATCTTTGATGTTCTCCAGCTCACACCTATACGGTGTCTGTGAGAACGGGTGACATGTACGGAGGAGGGACCGATGCCAACGTGTTTCTCACCATCTACGGAGACCTGGGAGACACGGGGGAACGCAAACTCAGCAAGTCTGAGAGCAACAGCAACAAGTTTGAAAGAGGGGCGGTATGTGTATTATTATTTGGTAACACTTTACATTAAGTTGCAAAGATACCATATATACTGAACAAAAATATAAACGCAACATGTAAAGTGTTGGTCCCATGTTTCATGAGAAATAAAAGATCCATACGCACAAAAAGCTTATTTCTCTCAAATTTTGTGTACAAATTTGTTTACATCCCTGTTAGTAAGCATTTCTCCTTGGCCAAAATAATCCATCCACCTGACAGGTGTGGCATATCAAGGAGCTGATTAAACAGCAAAATCATTACACAGGTGCACCTTGTACTGGGGACAATAAAAGGCCACTCTAAAATGTTCAGTTTTGTCACACACCACAATCCCACAGATGTGTCAAGTTTTGAGGGAGCGTGCAATTGGCATGCTGACTGCATGAATGTCCACCAGAGCTGTTGCCAGATAATTTAATGTTCATTTCTCTACCATAAGCCACCTTGAACGTTGTTTTAGAGAATTTGGCCTCACAACCGCAGATCACGTGTAACCACGCCAGCCCAGGACCTCCACATGTGGCTTCTTCACCTGTGGGATCGTCTGAGACCAGTCACCCGGACAGCTGATGAAACTGTGGGTTTGCACAACCAAAAGATTTCTGCACAAACTGTCAGAAACCGTCTCAGGGAAGCTCATCGTAACTGACTTCAGTGGGCAAATGCTCAGCTTTGATGGCCACTGGCACGCTGGAGAAGTATGCTCTTCACGGATGAATCCCGGTTTCAACTGTGCCGGGCAGATGGCAAACAGCGTGTATGGCGTCGTGTGGGCAAGCGGTTTGCTGATGTCAACTTGTGAACAGAGTGGCCCATGGCAGTGGTGGGGTTATGGTATGATGCAGGCATAAGCTAAGGACAATGAACACCATTGCATTTTATTGATGGCAATTTGAATGCACAGAGATACCGTGACGAGATCCAGACATTTCACCCATTGAGCATGTTTGGGATGCTCTGGATCGACGTGTACGACAGCGTGTTCCAGTTCCCGCCAATATCCAGCAAGTGGAGTGGAACAACATTCCACAGCCCACAATTAACAGCCTGATCAACTCTATGCGAAGGAGATGTGTCGCGCTGCATAAGGCAAATGGTGGTCACACCAGATACTGACTGGTTTTCTGATCCACGGCCCTGTAACCAACAAATGCATATTTGTATTCCCAGTAATGTGAAATCCATAGATTAGGGCCTAATTTATTTATTTCAATTGATTGGTTTCCTTATGTGAACTGTAACTCAGTAAAATATTTGAAATTGTTGCATGTTGCGTTTATATTTTTGTTCTGTGTAGTTTACCATGTAGTTTCATGGGATACTAACACTGTGTATTAAGGGTAACTAATTAATGTAATGGAGGACTGGTCCCTAATTCCCTCAAGCCTCTCTCAGACCATCGTAGTCACTAAGAGCAGACAGGTTTATTTGTCTACACTACATGGGTTCCTTTCTTCTTCTCTCTCCCAGGTGGATAAGTTCTCAGTTGAGGCGGTGGATCTTGGTCAGGTGTTTAAGATCCGTATCCGCCACGACAACTCAGAATTTATGGGGGCAGACTGGTACCTGGACCAGGTAGAGGTGGTGGACATGGAAACAGAAGAGGTATATTTGTTCCTGTGTGAGCGTTGGCTCTCCAAGACGAAGGAGGACAAACGCATCGAGAGAACCTTCTACATCAAGGTACAGTAATAGGGTTTATCTTAGATTGTTTCACAGGCGGAATGTAAAGCCCCCCAAAGCAATATCCAGAGCTTCTGGCATTATTCTAATCTCATCAGAACTGTTGGCATCATTGTGATGTTCTTTAGTGGATTGTTTTGGCCCTTCCCAGGGTTATGAGGGTGAGAGGAACATTGATCCAAACAAGAAGAGCACCCAGGCCAAGATAGGGCTGGACAGGAATGCAAACAAGAAGAAGAAGAAGAAAAAGGCGGTCGTAGAGGAGGGTCCAGGTAAGCGAGCACATTGGTTGCAACGTTGCTTCATTAAACTCTGTGAGCATGTAAACAATGTGTGGGTGTTCTCCTTCCTTCCTGCTGGCCAGTCATCCCCTACCACTTCACTGTGTCTACTGCTATGGACCCTGACGCTAGCACCACAGCCAGGGTCTATGTCATCGTCATGGGACCTAATGACATTGAGACGGAGCGTCTGTGGCTGGACCTGCCTGAGGGGAAGAAAAGCTTCGCTGCAGGGAGCATGGAGAACTTCCAGTGTTACGGAACTGACGTGGGAGAGATCAAGAGGGTGGAGGTAAGGATGAGGGCACTACTCACTAGGCTTATCATGCTAGAATGGAAGTACATGAGCTGTTCATTACCCATGAAGGGTTAGGATTAAGCTAAGAATAAGGCTGATATTAGATTTTAGTAGGTTACCAGCTTTTGTGGTTGCCTCTACCTCTCGCTCTACTTCGCTTCCTATATTTATCTATTTTTCTCGCTCTTTCTCTCCCCCCTCCAGCTGGGTCATAATGGGGCAACCCCAGAGAGCTGCTGGTTGGTGGACGAGCTGTCGGTTGACGTGCCGACCAAAGGCATCAAGTACATCTTCCAGTGTAAGTGCTGGTTGGCCAAGGACAGAGGCGACGGTCTCACCAGCAGACTGTTCAACGTACTGGATGCCAACAGTATCAATATCGTCCGGAAGGTAAGTTTGTTGGGACAATAACACACTGAAAAGCACTATGTGACAGAGAGGTATTTTCAATATGAATGGATGGTTATATGCATACTTGTGCTTGGGATGCTCCTTCGTGGTGAGGGCTTCCTTGAAAGAGATTCTGCTATCTCAATGGGGCTTAAATACAGGACACATGTATGTTTACCCTCCAGATCATCTATGTGGCCACGGTCATCACAGGCGACACCCAGGATGCAGGGACGGACACCAACATTTTCCTGTCTGTGTTTGGAGCCAATGGGAGCACAGAGGAGATGCTGCTGCCCAAGAATGAGGACAGGTGACATCACACTGTCATTCAATAGAGTGAATCTAGTGTTGACTGGGTTGACTCGTATTGGGCTGGGCCAACATCGGGGGATGTCCATGTGATGATTTTATGAGGTACCCTACCCTAGCCTGTTAAACTCTGAACAGTTGTTTTGGGCCCTGTACTGGGCCCGGCAAGTTTTTTCACCGCCTCACATAAAGGTCATAAATCATGCGCTATGGTCATATTCATAGAGTATGCAATGTAGGTCAAGTCACCAAAAAGTCATGTCACCATTTAGTATGCATGGAAAGGGTACACCCTGGTAGTCATTGTAAAGCAATGCATTTCCTTCTCCAATCACATTTCCTTGTATGCATCCTCCACATGCACTGTTGATCTAGCTCATCGTTTACAATAGGAAACGTGAATGGGAAAATACGTTTAAAGGTTCCTCACCCGTCTGTGTCTTAATTCAACAAAAAAACTTGAAAGCCTTGATTGTTAAGGTAATTTTAAGATGTCAGGCTTGAAAATCCGTTCAGCCATTTTGGCACAGTGACACACTACCCAAACCAGACGCAACTGGTTTCAAGTGGCCAAGAGACGTCATGCGATCTCCTACTGCAATCTAGTGGACGAACTGGGAATCAGACAGGGGATGTATTTACATCAATGGATAGGTAGACTTCAGCTTTGTGAAAGCATGGCACGTTGCACAAGCCCTGCACTTTTAAAATGGCCGTGTTCCTATGGGAATTTGCGCATGTTTAGAGCACAAAAGATCTGACAAATGTTTTTTCTTTATATAAAAAAAAACTTTTGGAACATTAATTGGTGACATATTTTATTTAAAACCTAGACTTTCAAATCTCTTATTCTCCAACATGGGGACAATTGGGGGGAACTGTACAAAAATAACTGTACATTTCAGTTTTTTTTTGTCACATTGTTTCTGACACCTTTATCACCTTTCTAACAGTACTAACCATGTGTTTGTAGGACTTATAGTTTTGAAACCGAAATGTACTTTGTGAGGGTAGTATATAGTATTATGCGTTGTTTAGAAAACACCACCAGAGGGGGTCAGAGTTTAAGAGGCTAGTTTGTTCTTGGCACCACGATTATTCGAACCTTTGGAGCCATTGTCCTTATCTAGCCATGTCTTCCTCCACAGGTTTGAGAGAGGTCAAGAGGACACGTTTAACCTGGAGATAGATGACATCGCTCCTCTGAAGAAGATCAGGGTTCGAATCGACGGCTCTGGGAGTCGCCCTGACTGGTTCCTTGACAGGGTTGGCACTCAAACTTAGTGTGCTCATAGGGGCCGATTCAGACTTAGGAAATTTAAGTTTTTCCTATGCATGCCTTTCCTATGCACTTCTCAGGATTTCGTATTCAGACTTACCTTATTCAGTCGTGTATCGCACTCTGCAGGTGTGGCTACCTTGCACGCTCTGAATAAATTACATTCAACCGCTGAAAACCCTCCCACTTGCTGGTCAACAGATTTTCTCGTGGAGTTTTCATTCAATAGGGTTTTCAGTACATGTATCTTAAGCCATCTATTTAAATACGGTGTACCTTATAGTTTGAATTTTATCAACAGACTCACTAGAATATATTGAGAGAACATGTTCAGAATATTAGGGATCAATGAAAGAAAGCCATCTAAATATATGCATATTCATCTCCGTTTCAGCACCAATTGGTAGATTTCAAAATAGTCTGATCTTGTAGATCATTTAGGTTTAACTGTTACAGCTTGGTCTGCGCTCCCCTCCATAACGATTGAATTAGCCTACATGTGATCCTCAGCAAATGAAGGTAAACAAAACAATGTAATTCAATGGAATGATAATGTAGACTATACCAGCTGAAGGGAACTGACAGTAAATTGGCTGTTAAATATGTGTGGTTATTAGGCCTACTGACAGTCGATACTGATAGTTGATCATATTTAATATCATAGAAATAGGAAACAGATCGATACTGATAGTGGTTCATATTTAACATGATAGAAATAGGAAACAGATCGATACTGATAGTAGATCATATTTAACATGATATAAATAGGATACAGATCAATACTGATAGTAGATCATATTTAACATGATAGAAATAGGAAACAGATCAATACTGATAGTAGATCATATTTAACATGATAGAAATAGGAAACAGATCGATACTGATAGTGGATCATATTTAACATGATAGAAATAGGAAACAGATCAATACTGATAGTAGATCATATTTAACATGATAGAAATAGGAAACAGATCGATACTGATAGTGGATCATATTTAACATGATAGAAATAGGAAACACAGAAAGTTGGGGTAGCCTATAATTAAGACATTAGAGAGTATACATCTCTGCAAGTTAAAAGGCTGTACAATTTAAATTCTGCATAAAGGCACAGCATTTCAAAACCTTTACTGTGATAAGGTTGATAAGTTGATGTGCTTCAGTTTGCTGCCATATGACTGGTTTCACATTTGTCTCCTCCAGCAACTATACGGTAAAATCAATCAATCATTCAATCAATCAATCAATCAATCAAATATATTTATAAAGCCCTTTTTACATCAGCAGATGTCACAAAGTGATTATACAGAAACCCCAAACAGCAAGCAACGCAGATGTAGAAGCACGGTGGCTAGGAAAAAAACCATAGAAAGACTGGAATCTAGAAAGAAACCTAGAGAGGAACCAGGCTCTGAGGGGTGGCCAGTCCTCTTCTGGCTGTGCTGGGTGGAGATTATACAAGTACATGGCCATTAAGGCCAGATCGTTCTTCAAGATCTACAAACGTTCATAGATGACCAGCGTGGTCAAATAATAATCACAGTGGTTGTAGAGGGTGCAACAAATAGATCTAAAACAAGTGTCATTTATATTTACAATTCCCTTATCCAAACAGATTACTCATTTGCCTAGCTCTTATCAATAGTTCTTATCATGTTGGATTTCTATCTGGAAAAATCAAGTAGATGCTTTTTCCACTTGGAACCGGTAGGTTCGCTAGACCTTGTTCATGGTTTCCTCACGCGTAAAGGTGGTGGAATTATGAGGGAATTAAGTCACGATCAGAAGGCATATCCGTAGACCAGGGTTTCCCAAACTCGGTCCTGGGTTTGATGATTAGTTGATTATTTGAATCAGCTGTGTAGTGCTAGGGCAAAAACCAAAACGTGCACCCCTTGGGATCCCGAGGACCAAGTTTGGGAAACACTGCCGTAGACACACTTCCGCCACACCTTAATTTATTCGATCTCCACCCCAAACGAATAGCAGGTGAATAGCATCCTATTCTCATGCTTATGTTCAAGGTCAGAATATGCATAGAGAGAAAGGTGCATTAAAAGGGAATTACACTCCATTTACGCATGCTTAACTCGGGTCGGATTTCCCCCCATACTGTATTATGTTTATTTCAGCCCTCTAATCTCAAAACAGTAAGTTGCTCTGAGAGTCTGCTAATGGACTAAAATGTTAATGTAAATGTCTGGTATGCATGGGATACGTGTCCTCTAGATCATGATGCATAACCTGACTACAGAGGAGGTGTCTGTGTTTACCTATGAGAACTGGCTGTCAAAGACCAAAGGGCCCAAAAGGACTAAGATCTGTGAGCTGGCAGCGGTGGTGGATGAGGAGGAGATGGTGGAGAGGACCACCTACATCATCCAGGTCCAGACCAGCGACATCGGAGGTGGGTCACAACAGCTCCACATGGGAACAGAAATCCACATGGGAAAAACTCCTGCACCCACTAGGCACCCCCTAGTTCTACCTTTATTTTCACCATCTTTAATCTACCTTTTCCTCCTTTCTTCCAGGAGCGGGCACTGATGCCAACGTGTTCCTGATAGTGTTTGGGGAGAACGGAGACACTGGTACGCTGGCACTGAAGGAGGGCGGTAGCAGAAACAAGTTTGAGCGGAAGTCAAAAGACGTGTTCCGCTTCCCAGACATCCTCAGCCTGGGAGAGCTTTCCAAGCTCCGCGTATGGCACGACAACAAGGGTGAGGAACAGGTCTTCATGTGCCATGCCACGTAGTTGTATCACAAACGGTAATGACGGTGATGGCGGTGGCCAAACAGACTGAGAAAGGACACAGGAGGGCTTTCTTTCTCGCTTTTGATTGATTGATTTCTTGGCAACTGCAGTTCTGTACACAGGATTTACAGCAAGGGAAAACTAAACTAAGTCTTGAAGTGGCTGATTGGTGATGATTGGAGGAGAGGCAATAATATAAGCCATAAACCTGTGTTTCTCTCAGGTCCTGCCCCGGGTTGGCACCTGGAGTACATCGATGTGAAAGATGAGACCATGGACAAGAATTTCCGTTTCCCATGTGACCGCTGGCTGGCCAAGAATGTGGAAGACAGGCAGATCATGACAGAGCTGGCCTGTGCCAACAACGACATCCTGGACTTCAGTGATAAGACCAGTTAGTTCACCACTGACCCTGATGTAGACTAGTGAGCCAAGAAAACTCCAGAGAAATAGATTGTTCCATGATAAGTGGATGGCCGCTATATTAGATGTACCATTTGGAATGTTCGATTAATTGATACTCCATATAAATGAATATCACCATATATAAATTAATGTAGTCTACCAGGTCAGTTTACATTTCCTTTCAATCCTCACAACTAACATCTAGGCTAGGGGTTGTAGATCTCTTTATTTTTTTACACGGCAGGCACTTATGTTCTGAATAAATGAAGTTAGAATTTATGAGGTTGCATTTTTTATTCTTTCTCCAGAATATGAAATTGCCACTACAACAGCTAACACTGATGACGCAGACACCAAGGAGAATGTGTGGATCGTGCTGGAAGGAAAGAAGGGACGTTCAAAGGAGTTTGTGCTGGAGAATAGTTCAAAGAAAAAGAGGTTCCTTTGGTAGGTTCTCAAAGAAACACTTCAAGCCATTCTCTTGTTATTGGTGCCCCTAAAGAATCTTCTCTTCTCTTTCAAGTGCTCTGGCGTTCTACCTTTTCTCTTGATCTTACTGTTTTCAGCAGGCCATTAATTTCAGGACAGTTAAGTCCATACTGTGCTTAGAATAATCATTATTTTACAGATATAAAAGAAGGGAGAGTAAATCAACTTATCTCCTGTGGATGTCTCTTTTCAGTGGAGCCACAGACACATTTGAGTTTTCCTCCAAGAATGTGGGTGAGATAGCTGGCATCTGCGTGGGGCACACGACTAAAGACAGCAAGAAGGTGAAGGGTGAGGCCTTCTGGCACGTCCTGGAAGTTGTGGTGACAGACAAGGGACTGGGAAACAAGTGAGTGAAAACTTCTGGGGAACAAAGACAGGTCTTTTTCTCATCATGTCTAAACTCATGTCATCATGCTTCTCTTTCTGTTCCTGTCCAGGTATTTATTCCACTGCGATGCCCAGATCCCTCTAGCAGCCAAACGGGACAAGTTCCTGACCTTCGAATGCTTTAAGACCATCGAGAGCTTTGCCAGCAAGGTCCGCAGCCTCGTGCCCGTCAAGTACGAGATAATCGTCATCACCGGCGACGTCAAAAGGGCCGGAACTGACTCTAACGTTTACATCACCATATATGGCTCCAATGGGGATTCCGGAAGACGTGCCTTAAAGCAGAAGTTCCGAAACCTTTTTGAGCGGGGACAAACAGATCATTTTACTCTGGAGATGTTGGATTTAGGGGAGCTGCTGAGGGTCAAAGTGGAGCATGATGGCTCAAGCCACAACTCTGGTTGGTACCTGGAGTGTGTAGAGGTCACCAACACAGCCAACTCGGTGACCACTATCTTCCTGTGTGGGAAGTGGTTGGACCCTCAGAAGGCAGATGGGCAGATACAAAGAGTGCTCTACCCCAAATACTGACAAGTACCCATGTTAACCCTTAAGAGCCGGGGGGAGGGAGGATTGTTTTAAGATTGTCATACCGAGGACCATTTAGCTATTTCATTTTGAATTTTAGGACCCCTTTAGGTATATATAAAGAAAATTACAACAATTATTTGATGAAACATTGAATTTGGCCTTACTGCTATTAGCCCATAGAAACACATTGAATAAGAGATTCATCCATGGAAAAACAGATAGTGAAAAAATAAATCGAAATGAAGTTTGTTTTAAAGTGTCTGTTTTTACACTAAACTACTTGCATAAATACTGTACTACCATTAATTGTTTTAACTGGTACTGGGCTACCTTCAGACAAGTCTTGTGATGCTTGTGGGTGTCCTAGCCAAACTGTTCGGAAGATACAGACAGAAGTTGGCAGATCGGCAGTACCGACTTCAGACGAGTCACGTGACCGTTGTGTTCATGAGAGTCTCATCTTTCCATAGAGTGGTCATATTAGTTTGGATGCCAAACCGTTCGGATGCTACAGAGGTTTTCGTGAGAACCTGTCTCATTGTCTGACAAACACAGCTGTAGCTCGGCCACCTTCCACCGCAGATGCGGAAGGTCGCCATTGTCGGATGCGGTGGTTTGAGTTTATCAGCGCATGCAAAAACATATCTCTAGTTTAAACAGACAGATTTTGATGGGGATTTTTGTATTATGCTAATTCGATTTCCTATCGCGGCGGAACTTGGGACCAGCTATTTATGTATTGGAGTTTTTTTTTTTCTGGAGTACTTTTCAATCTGAAACCATTTTTGTATGTTTGAGTATTTTACTTTGTGAAACATAAACAGAGAACATAGGTGATAACTATATAGAAACAAATGATGCTTAGAAGCAGATTCATAGCATGTGATTGTATTCACTCATGCTGGACTAGATACACCACTGTCGACATGTATTTCATGCACAGACCCTGTGTGTCCATCTAGCCTAATTGTCAGTGATTATTGCTGATATTTTGAAAAAAATAATCATTCTATGATTTTATACTTGCTTTGTGTTTATAAACTTTGTGCCGATTCGTGTCATGAAGTTAATTATTTACTAGAAAAATTGAATAATCCTTAACCAGGTATTTTCAGCATTTTAGGCAGTTTATTTGAAAAACACATAGAAAAACATCATATAGAAGACAATAAATAAAAAAAGGAGACAGAACAGTTTGGGTTAAGCTATGCAACTTTTTGCATCATCATTAGTAATAAATACAGTACAAAATCCACCAAATGTGAATCTAAAGATTTTCCACAATATTCACTGATCCATGTTATTCTTCATTATCATTTAGCTATTGCTTTTCATATTATTGATACATACTTTGTCTATAAAATACTCCAGCTCATAAAACATTGCGCGGTTACAGCAAAACAGCAGTGTGTTGTACAAAGATGGCCACTTCCCTTTAATCACTGGCAGGTTAGTTTAATCAACAGTTTGTCAGCAGCAAAGAAACATCTGTAATATTCAAGAAGGTACAGCCTTATATTAAACACGTCTACAGCTACGCCCATGTACACATATGAAAACCTGAGAAGGACATGCATTAGAAAGCTTGTGCTTTAGGATTCTACTTTTTATTCCCCTTCACCAGCATGAGTTATAATACTATGGCTACTGTCCAGTTTTCTTCTGGAGTAATAACGCAGTATACTGTCTGTGGAGGACAGAGGCAAGGCAGGAGTTTTTCCTGACCAGGTGACCTGACCAGCAAAAACTCTAGGCCCTAGACATGGGGTAAGGCCAGTGACAGCAGGAAAAATAAAAATAAGACCAGTCAGCTTCATTCCAATTGGATATATGTAGGATTTATAAATTGTTATTATTGAGAAAATAAACACAGAAAACAGGTGGTTAGCTTATTATACCCAGGGGTAAAAACCACACTATCAAGAGTATTACACCAGAAAAAAATAAGACCCAATAGCTCAAGTTTATCATGTTAGCCACCTCCCGAACCTAACTACACAAACACTGCATTTGCCAGCAATACAAAGTACCTAATAATGCAGTTATTCATTCATAAGGAAAGAGTTAATATAGCTGGGCCAGAGAAACGTATGGTAAGAATGGTCCCGTGTAGCTCAGTTGGTAGAGCATGGTGTTTTTAACGCCAGGGTTGTGGGTTTGTTTCCCACGGGGGACCAGTATGAAAAAAATAAATGTATGCACTCATTAACTGTAAGTCGCTCTGGATAAAAGCGTCTGCTAAATGACTAAAATGTAAAAATGAGACACCCAACATCCAGATATGGTGAAATATACAATCGAGGTAAATCAAAACAAATGAAAACAAACTGAGCAAACTGGTAATGATCAGGGATAAATATTAAAAATAAAATAGTATCATATTTCCAGCAAGGGGTATAGCCATGCTAGGAGGTTTACATGCTAAAACATTTGCACCTAGTCACAGTCTGTCCACTCGATCAAAGCAGAGGGGGGAATCTTCGATATGACATTGAATGGAATGTAAATCAAGATCAACAGCACCACATTGGCTAGAGACAGCTCACATTACACCCTAGTCACCCTTCCAAATGACACTGTCTCCTTATGAAAAACACAACTTGCATGCAAAGCATCCCCACCAACCAATGCATAATGAGGTATTATTATTTATTTTTTTACATTGTGTTATTTCTAAATAAATAGATTGATTCAATTGCAAAGTCAAGAGAGAAAAGACATGAAATATGCCACCACAATAGCTACGGTTAGTAATAAATTATGATTGTTAAATACTTAAGGCATTTCAACTCACAGCATCCTATGTGAAGTAGCAACCCTCCTTGTTTATCTGTCTTTAGTTTTTTTGGATGGAGGGTTTGGACAAAGGAAAAACGCAACACAGTCAAGTCAACCTCCAAGAGTACACAAGGAAGCATGAAGATACGTGTAACCGAACACAGACGCATAAGCTAGAACAAGGAGACCCCACACCACCAAATCTACTTCAGGCAACCCCATATTTTAGTGCATTTACAAAACACAAGCTACATTAATAAATATGTTTTTTTGCAGCATTGGAACCATTTCTTCAAAATTGTAAAAAAAAAATGGACAAGGACTTGGCTTTACTTGGTCCAATGTCCAAATTGGCATGAGCGCTCAAAACAAATGAATAGGAAGGAAACCAAAATGAAGAAAACAATTTTAAAAAATCAAAGAAATGTAAATAGTAAGAATAATTGTTTGGTATTTTCAAACGAATGGCTTTTTCTCCCTTTAACCCTCTTTCAAGTGAACTACACCAACATGATTAATGCACGATATAGAGAAAACAGCTTCCATCACTGAACAGTTTACAGATGTTCTAGCAATACCATACACAACTACCATCATGGGGGACCATCTTACACATTCTAGGACACAGAACAAAGGCCTACTAGTTGGATATCTCCTAGGAACACCAGCTGTATTCCTGTATCGAACAACGGGAGCAACTGAGATTGAAATGAAGGGAACCGAAACAGAGGTTGTTTGCTATGCACTGTATAACTCACATGTGCTTGTTCTGTAGGCAATAAGGTACTGGTATATGTTAGAAAAGGATTACATTGTATTTACTCTAAAGACAAGACACAGACACTGCATCCTCCAGCCCATGCCAGCCTTTAAGATCGTGCTATGGATGAGGCTGCGAGTAGAAATTGCCCATAAGCACAGTTCTTTAAATCAGTTTACCCCTCCCCCAATCCTAATCTTAATCATTAGGAGGGGAGACGCAACAGTGACAGAAGATCAGCGTCTAGGGGAAATGTCATCCTGCTCCATGGATGAGTAAAAGAGTCATACTGTTTATGGTTCACATGCAGAGAGACTGCAGACTTTCTACTGCTCCACAATCACAAGACAGCCCAAGCCTGCCATAGAGCATGCATATCTGGGGCCTCTGTTTTAGACTATAGAGGCCCCACTACAGCACAATGCAGACCACTAAAGCCATGCCTGGTTAGCATCTCTAGCATCCACTGTGATGGCAGAGATCTACTGTACTGGAAACCCACAAAATGTTTGGCCTTTGTACATAGCTAGCACTTCCTCATTGTCTAAAGTCTGTCTGTACGCCTATTCTCCTTTGTTAAATAGGAGTTTTTTCCCTCTTTTTTCCCCCACCTTATTTCTCAAAGTGGGATTTTTGCTTGCTACACAACACTGTCATTCTGTTGTAAATACTGGCAATCAATTACAAGACTACTACACTCCATAACACCCTAAGCATTAGGCCACAGAAGCTCATTTCAAGAAACATTCCCTTGCTGATTTCATATCTTGTCATGATTGCACAGATGTGCTGTAGTTAGAGCTCAGCGTTTGGGTTTCATCACACGGAGGGAGACCAATACACATCAGAGGTCGAGAACAGACCTATAAATAAACCCTCAGCAACACAATACACACACATGCTAGGGGGTTTGATTGAGAATCATCTTTGAGTAGGTGTATGGAGAAGCGAATGCTACTGTGCACAACCCAATGGAGACTCATCAAGCCCCAGCACCTGTCTATACATTCTGCCATCCTTCTGCCTCTCTTCTCCATCCATCTATCGGCCTGTTTTGTTTCTCTATTGTTTGATCAGTGTGGTTTCTTAATCCCTCCCTCCCCCGCTCTCTCGTCCCCTTCCATTCATTGTCTTCTTCGACTGGCTCAGAAGGCAGGCTCATAAGTGATGCGGATGGGAAGGTGGACGTTTGGCAGAGCTCCTCCTAGGGATGCTATGGGGTATTACAGGAAGGGGCAGGGAGAGGAGGCATCAGCTGTCTGGTGTCAGCTGGGTCTCAATGTCCACCCTGCATATGGGGCATTTCCTACTGGTGGCCAGCCATTGGTCTACACACGCCTGGTGGAAGAGGTGCATGCAGGGTAATCTCCTGTTGGTGGAGGAAGATGTAGAAGAGTGTTAATATGAATGACCATAGATACACAGAGATCTGCAAACTGTACTCTGTGTTGGCACAATAACATTGTCATTAGCATTTTGACTCACCTGACATCCTCTCCATCCTCCAGCATTGATAAACAGATAGTACACTTCTCATCTGTATCCAGTTCCTCATCCTCCAGCCCTAGCTTCAGGTCCTGGGGTATTCTCTGGAAATAGAAAAATATACAATTACAGCGACAAATACCATAAGCAATGCATCTCTCATTTTCATTTGCAAAGTTTTGATAGTTCACATGAAAATAGACATGCTTGAAGTCCTCATAATGTAGTTCTAATATATGACTAACGGCTGTCCTGAAAAACCCTGTTTAGAACCATTGTCCTAACATGGCATACAGTATACTGCAGAAGACACAATTAAAAAAGTGTCCTTCGGGTTCCTGTCTCATTGGATCATTAAAATGTAATGCTTATGATTCCTTCACATACTGTACAGTATATTTAAATCATACTCATATGACTTACACAGCTTTATAATAATTGGTCCTTTCACCTACAAGATGAGTCATCCTTGGTCTTAAATTGGGTACACTCCAGACCAGACCATCTAAATAAGTCAGTTTGGAGTGGAAGCAGACCGTATTCTTTGGAGAGATAATGTGGCTAACAATGACCTAAAATGAGATGGCAATGCTCATCGGTGTCATTCGAATCTGTTCCATTTTCTACCTCTGTACATCCGTTACCGACACAACTTATGAGGGCATAGTCTTACCTTCTTGTATTTGTGAGGGAAGGTGAACCTTTCAATAGTGGTCTGGATGGCCCCTCGGTTCACACTGCCCAGCCTGTCCTCCAGCTGCAGGAGCTCCTAATGGCAACACATGGGGAAAGACCGTTAAATATCTTATTTCAGTACGATAAAAAGAACAAAACAAAATAAAACAATGGCTTTTGGATTCGGAAGCATCTGGAGCACAGAACTAGCGGAAATTAGAAGATCAGTCCCACATGAGGCTGTCCACAGCATTTGTCACTCAGAGGCAGGGACGGATGTGTGAGAGGTGAGAGGAGGGAGGGAGTGTGTGTGTGACAGGGTGACAGTGTGACGGGGTTGATGGGACTTGGCCGTGTGACTGAGATGACTGTACCTCGTAGCTCTCTCTCACAGCGGATGCATGGCGGGAGGGGTTGAGGCCCTGCAGGGCCAGCAGGTGTAACTGAGGATACGGGTAGTTTCTGATCTCATGGACAACCTGGGGAGAACATACAGAGAGACAGTAAGGGAGTAATCTGGATACATTCTCCTCAACTCATCTTTGAGAAAACATCTTTGCGTTTCATACTGCTTCCTGCCTGCCATCCCTGAACCCTGTCTCTACAATGACCTATGGTGTAAATACCAAATCAAACACTCCAGGTGGTTCAGCTAATATGGACGCCAGCAGTGCAGATCATGAAACATTGCTTTGAATGGGACTGTCCATTCTGAACATTTAAATTCCATGGCAAAAGGAGTTGTGATGTCCTCACCAATTGGGTGGAGGCGTTGTTCCTGGGGAAGTGATGCATCCTGGGAGAGGTCAGGTAGTGTTGAAAGTGCTGGGGCAGTGGGCGGACGTGGTACTGGTGGGGGGGAAGCCCCGCGTCCACACTCAGGTCCCTGACCAACCACACAGGACAGGAGGAGAGAGGAGAGAAGAACCAGTTAAACACTGGGCCCATTTCACAGACCCATCAACATCATCAACATTGATTATCATTGGATTACATAATGCCCGTGGGAGGGGACTCAAATTTGAAATGAAGATAATCCATAGTTCAGGAGTAATGTATTAGACTTAACTATGAAGCCACATTATTGTAGGAGTGCAAGCTGGTGTGTTATTTACCAGTCTGTGCCTTCGGCCAGGTAGCGAGGCTGCTGGCCAACAGGCTGTGGGGGGACATGGAGGGCAGGAGCAAACTCGTACCCCAGCCGCAGTCTGTGGGGCTGGTGGGGCATTCTCTCTGGGGTGCGTCTGCTGACAGAGGACAACCAAAAAAGGTTTCTGTACACATTAAATTCCATGCAATCTGTTGTGTGGCACTTTTGAAGTATGAAAACACATGCCAAACTTTGGGGTTAACTACCCCTTTATCAGGGGCACATTATTAAACTGTACAGATTTTGGGGGGTGCATCAAAATATAGTTGTTCGTACAGACCATGACATTACTAAAGCTTATGGAGGTACCCTAGTTATTACGGTAGTGCCGTGCATAGCCAGAAACCAAGTCCCCATACCTGGAAGGTGGCATGATGCGGCGGTGCTGGGCTTCTAGGATCTGCTGTTGGAGGAGGTATTGCTGGTGTAAGGCCTGAGGCAGGAAAGGGGGGACCAAGAGGTCCTGGAACTGGGGTACGGGGGGTAGGGGGTTGAGGGGCGAGTGGAGCTGGGGAGGATGCTGGTGGCCAGAGGGAGGCAGGTGGGGGTTTATGCCCGACTGGGGCTGAACTGGGTGGGGCATGGGGAAGTCAATGGGCAGCGCGGCATGGGGGCCTAGCTGGAAGTGCCGGCAAGAGGTAGCATGGCTATGCTGCTGCTGCTGCCGGTTAAAGTGGGATCCTGTGGAAACATCAAGAGGGAGTCAGACACCTGAGAGAGAAATGGTAGGTTAGAATTAACAGTGTGTGTTTCTGTGTTGTAATTGTGTTTCTGTAGGATGATCTTTATAAAAGCCCTAACTCTTACCTATGGTGAAGAGGAGGGGATAAGGAGATATGGTGAAGTAACATAGAAAATGTTAATTTTTCCAAACATTAATGGTCTTTTATGGCATCATGTCACATTTGACCCTCTGTTTGGATTCTCACCTCTGGGCATCTGACTCTTCGGCAATGGGCGCAGCCAGGACTGTGCATTTAAATTGTGTATTCAAGTGGTTTCCAAATTAGGCTAGTTTTAAAAGCTGTGTGCAATATATGTGATTGACCATGAATCCATTTGATAGAAGTGCACAACTGCTGTCAGAAGTGTTTCTAGATCTACTGTGTGACATTCTGCTGATCAATCACATCATTAATCCACAGAAGGACAAAAAAACAGAGAACATCTATTCCTAAGAGATGTTTTTTTGTAAAGAAACTGTTTCTCCATTATAATCAGAGGATTTTACCAATGTGATGACATTGCTGTGAGTCCTTTTTCTGAGAACTCTCTCACCTGTTGAACTGTGGGTAACATAAGGCTATATTATATAGTACAACAAAACTGAATGTTTATCTATCACTACCCATATGTCTCTATCAGCAAAATGTTAAGCCTACAACGTCTATCTCCAACCAGAAATCAGTATCGATTTACATACTGCCTATATCGCTCTTTCTCTCACTCAGACACAGTGCTAGCCAAAGCTTTCCCATATGTAGATTCCTTGGTTCAGGGGAAATAGCTTAAATGCATTGCATACCAGCTCAGTACTTTTCCCCTCTTCCTAACCACAGCTATTTGGCAGCTGAAAAGAACAGGCTGCTGTTGAGGCTCGAGAGGGAGAACCAGATACTACCACTGTACTATAGTGCACTGTCTAGGTTTTAATACTGTGTGTGTGTAGATAGATCTGACAATTCTAATGGAAATAACATTGATTGTGAATAGGAATGGCTTTCAATTTACATGAAGTAGGCCTAGGCTACATCGTGACATTGATGCCAATATGACTAAATATTATATTTGAAAAGGGGAGAACACAATTCATAGGACAAGACTTCATAGTCTGTGATATGTTTTCCATGGCGGAAAATTTAGTTTGGACTCGAGCAGCAAGAGAAGTCGTGGAAAAAGACCATCGAACTAAATCTATCCATTGAGATATATGCAGCCTAGCACAAACATTTAGGGACGAACCTACATCTAGGCTTTTGTGAATGTAGTTGCTAGGCTCTTTTCTTACATGTACATGCTAAAGTGTTTGTGGAAGAGTGGATAACACATTCAGATGAAAACAGGTGAAACCCCTACAATTGAGAAATAGGCAAATGTCTACATTGCATTTGGATCATTAAGTTGTAGTAGATTTGAAGGTGCAGTGCTAGAAAATAGTAATGAGACTAATCTTGACAACTTTCAGAAACATCCGATTGTGGTGGTGGGTTTTTAAAATGTCACATTCAGTTCATAACCAGTCACTAATTAATCAGAATGAGTTAGGCCTACTAAAGTAGCATTTGATCCCAGGATCAACAGTGGCGCACTGCACTTTCAATTGTCTCAGTAGTAGAATCTCCATGAATGACAGGGGATAGACTCATTCAGGCCTTGTGATGAGAAAAGCGAGGGAATCGTCTATCTTTGTCACAGCGGGAGTGGAGGCGGGTGGGGTGGAGTTGGGCAGGTAGGGACGAGGGAAGGGATAAAGACAACAAATGGACATCAGCAAGAAGCACACTGAAGGTTAGGAAAAATACTATATTCTTTATTGGAAAATATTAGTATATGTGGAATTTGTGTTTTGGTTGTAATAATAATAATAATATAAATACCATGCAACAAAAATAAACAACATAGACTGAAGGCAAAGCCCACCATGCTCCATAAAAGTGTTAAAAAGAACAAAAGCAGCATCCAATGAGCAGACGTGGTTGGCTACAGCACAGTGCAGCAGGGTACATCTTTACTACAGAAAAATTACATTGGAATTTACTATTAAACGTAAAAACTAAATCATATGAATCATAACATGACCATGCATTGAAAGTACTATTACCAGAACAAAGGGTAAAGAGCAACCACAACCAAACAATAAAAGACGTTATTACTCTACTAGAGGATTTACTGTAGCAGTGCAGGAGATAAGCATCCCTGTGAAATGGATAGCATTTTGTACTTTTGTTAGTGGATCATTAGGAAGTGATCATTAGGAAGTGATGAACCACCAGTGAGTGAATCTACTACTTATAGAATTTGGTTTTGGCTTCTTTTCAAGAAGAACAAAGTATTACAGTTATGACAGGTTGTTGGGAAGAGGTGCAGTGTACCTGTATTTAATCAATTTTTATGTGTTTTCCATTTTTTTATCACTCAGATGACCACACTAGGGATAATCCTAGTATAGCTTTTACATATCATGTAAGAATGCCAATTGGAGCATTAGCTACCGCTACTTAGCCACATTTGTACAATGCACCTTCCATGGAGAAAATTAGCCAAATTCTGGTCTTCATTAAAGCAGTGCTGAAGTCGAACCCATGCAAAATGTATCCACTTTACAGGAATTTACAGCATGTTGTATATCAATACTGGATGGGAGGTACACAGTGACATTTATTTGATTCTCTAAAGAGCTAAAATGGGTTAACAATACAGCAACTTCACAGAAAAAGACAACAGGTGTTAGCAATTTTTGTTTTTTCACAACAATGAATTATGGGTGAATGGTACATTCTTGGGGGCGTTTAAATAAAATAATAGCAATGTCTTCTGATGGAAAGAGGAAATGAAGAAGGGATTCACGATACAGCTAAATACAGAGAACAGGCCACGCCACACCACAGCAGATGATCATTAGCTACACAATGGGGGGGACAAAGATCTGATAAATGCAGAATGTAGAGCCAGCCTCGATACTATGAAACAGGAAATAAGAACAGAAATAAATGCACAATGTGAAATCATTGATGCCACTGTATGAATTTAGTTGATACGCTACACTGTAGCCTAAATGGTTTATGCAACGGTATGTTTTGGTACTGAATCAACGGGAAATGACTAGCGTAAAATCACCTGGTGGATAGCTTGTTTTAAATATTGGAAAAACAACCTACCTAGCTACGACGTGTTTAAAGGACTTCCTGAAATATGTCAATTTAGTCTGTTTGTAAGCTTCTAGTTGTGATATACAATTGTATCGATTAACGTAGGTGATTGAATTTGTCGTAAGACCCTCTCGGCAAGCAGTAAAGATTATCTCCAAATGACATCATCCTGGGATTAAATAGGTTCTCCACTAACCTAACCTGCCGAGACCGCGCTAGCTAGCTAACCTTCAAACATGTTTCACGCATTACTCTCTGTGGTCTGATATTACACCACTGCCATTAATGTCAGTTGGTAAAGTATTTCTTAAAATGGAACTGACTAGCTAGCTACAATATATAATGTCCAAAAATAGCTTAACGTTTAGCTAGCATTAGCTAAATAGCGTCGGTCAACGCGCTAACTAGCTACAGTAGTTAGCTGTCAACAGCTAACGTATCTCGATTTGAGAATAAATAAATAAAACATATTTATAGGTAAATAGGACCCATACTACCAGAATGTGTAGTATGGTCCTGCAATTGTTAATAAAATGTAGCGCTGGTCAACAACATAGTTGCTTGCTAATGCTAGCTAACGTTGGAATGGATTCTAAATAGATTTTCGACCAGGTTAGCGAGCAGCTCCAGTGGTATTAAGATGAACAGGGCACATGTATGTGTTAAATATAAATACATATAAATACCTCTATTTCTTACTGAGCCAAATACAGGAAGAACCAAATATCCGACATGCACTAAAACCATCCTTGGATCCTTTTCTTGCCGCTGGGTTTTTGAGAGACAAATAGCCCATGCGGATGATCCGTTTCAATCTTTCTACATTCAAGCGGATCTAGCAAGTACTGGGCTGGCAGGCAGCTGCTTCCGTGACAAAGCGTCGATGGCTCGGCGTTTTCTGAAGGAACATTTAGGAAATGTAAAGTACCACAAATAGCCACTAGGTTGCGCCATAACCCCCAGCATAATGTTTTTCAGCCAGATTCATTCATAGATAAGTGAACTCCGCTGCAGTAGATGGCAGTAATGCTTTGAAATGACAGCCTGTCATCACGGATGACATAAAACGAAGAAGAAGGGACTCGTTTTCGGCCATTCGCACACTCTCCAAGTACAGCAAGCTGGTCTTTGCAGGTAGTGGAGGACAAGTCACATTCGCCCATTAGAGATGTTATCTGTGCGAGTTGCAGCGGCTCTGGCCAGAAGCTTGCCCAGACGGGCTGGATTTGTGAGTATTGCATTGATTTGGATGTTGAATAGAAGACATTTAGCATTGCACGATTTAAAATGTAAATGTGAATGCAGTCGGTGTGTGAAGGGTACATACAGGCCTCCACCTTCACGCGCTCGTCCCAGAACGTCATGTCCAAGAAAGGCAACGCATGGCACTCGACGTAACGTTACTTTGTAGATTTTTATTTGGTAACGTTAATTCGCTAGGTTTACCGTTTTTATAACTCGTTCATTGAACATTTCGTTTAGATTTCCACTTTCAATGCGCACTTGAACTACACTAACGTTACGGCCCCATAAAATGGCTGTGTTAGCTAGCTAACTAGTTTAGCATGCTATCCGCTAGCTAGGTAAACTCTGAAGGTCAGGATCTCTCTACATGTAGAATGCTCCCCTCGCGCGCACACACTACAAGTCTCTCTAAATATATTTAGTTATAGTGTCTAGCATATGCTTTGAAATTGTCGATTTTTTTATTTTATTGGTTGTTTAATTGGATTTATATTTTTCATAGGCCTGCTGTCAAATAAGAAAGGACTACTTGCGCACAACCTAGTTAGCTATTAGCCAACGTTACTTGGGCTAACGCCTAGCCTAGAGCGTATGCCGTGTTTTGATTGTAACGTATTCCAACATATATTGGGCGATTTCTTTGCCATTCCATCAGTTCAATTACACTTATTTTGAAGAATAACCTATCATACTTTAATTAATTCTAGGTGTCTAAAAATGTTGCCGCCGCCTGCGTAGGAGTGAATCACCTCCACACACACAGACCATGTCTTGCTGCGAAGACAGGTAAGTATAGAGAGAATGGGGACTCAAGGAATGACCTTTTGAACTTGGGTCAGAAATCCTCTTGTTATGAGCAGGAGACATTAGGTTTAGATGACATTTGAAAACAATAACATAATGTTGCTATCATAATTTGCCCCTGTATAAACAGAGATTCCTCTATGGCTATATTATTATACTAACAAAAACAAGGATATCAAATGTTATTTGCCACATGCATCAAATACAACAGGGGTAGACCTTACCGTGAAATGCTTACTTACAAGTCCTGAACCAACAATGCAGTTTGAAGAAAAATAAGTGTTAAGTTAAAAATAATTAAAGAGCTGCAGTAAAATAACAGTAGGGAGGCTATATACAGGGGGTACCAGTACAGAGTCAATGTGCGGGGGCACAGGTTAGTCAAGGTAATATGTACATGTGGGTGGAGTTAGTGCCTATGCATAGATAATAAACAGAGTAGCATCGGCGTAAAAAGAGGGGGTGGGGGGACAATACAAATATTCCGGGTAGCCATTTGATTAGCGGGGCGGGGCGGCAGGTAGCTTAGTGGTTAAGAGCGTTGTGCCAGTAACCGAAAGGTCGCTGGTTCTAATCCCCGAGCCGACTAGGTGAAAAATCTGTCGATGTGCCCTTGAGCAAGGCACTTAACCCTAATTGCTCCTGTAAGTCGCTCTGGATAAGAGCGTCTGCTAAATGACTAAAATGTAAAAAATGTAAAATTAGCTGTAAAGCATTCTTATGGCTTGGGGGTAGAAGCTGTTAAGAAGCCTTTTGGACCTAGACTTGTTGCTCTGGTACCGCTTGCCGTGCGGTAGCACGGAGAAGTCTATGACTAGGGTGGCTAGAGTCTTTGGCAATTTTTAGGGCCTTCCTTTGACACTGCCTGGTATAGACGTCCTGGGTGGCAGGAAGATTGGCTCAAGTGATGTAATGGGCCATACGCATTACCCACTGTAGCGCCTTGCGGTCTGAGACCGAGCCGTTGACATACCAGGCGGCGATGCAACCAGTCAGGATGCTCTCGATGGTGCAGCTGTAGAACTTTTTGAGGATCTGAGGACCAATGCCAAATCTTTTCAGTCTCCTGAGGGGGAATAGGCTGTCTTGGTGTGTTTGGACCATTATAGTTTGTTAGTGATGTGGACACCAAGGAACTTGAGGCTCTCAACCTGCTCCACTACAGCCCCGTCGATAAGAAAGGGGACGTGCTTGGCCCTCCTTTTACTGTAGTCTACGATCATCTCCTTTGTCTTGATCACGTTGAGGGAGAGGGTGTTGTCCTGGTACCACACTTCCAGGTCTGACCTCCTCCCTATAGGCTGTCTCATCGTTGTCGGTGATCGGGCCTACCACCGTTGTGTCGTCGGCAAACTTAATGATGGTGTTTGAGTCGTGCTTGGCCACGTAGTCATGGGTGAACAGGGAGTACAGGAGGGGACTAAGCATGCCCCCTTGTTGAGGATCAGCATGGCAGATGTGGTGTTGCCTACCCTTACCACCTGGGGGCGGCCCATCAGGAAGTCCAGGATCCAGTTGCAGAGGGAGGTGTTTAGTCCCAGGGTCCTTAGCTTATTGATGAGCTTTGAGGGCACTATGGTGTTGAATGCTGAGCTGTAGTCAATGAACAGCATTCTCACGTAGGTGTTCCTTTTGTCCAGGTGGGAAAGGGCAGAGTTGAGTGCAATAGATCTGTGGATCTGTTGGGGTAGTATGCAAATTTGAGTGGGTCTAGGGGCGGCGCACAATTGGCCCAGCGTCGTCCAGGGTAGGGGAGGGAATTGCTGGCAGGGATGTAGCTCAGTTGGTAGAGCATGGTGTTTGCAACACCAGGGTTGTGGGTTCGATTCCCACGGGGGGCCAGTATGAAAAAAATATAAAATAATGTATGCACTCACTAACTGTAAGTCGCTCTGGATAAGAGCGTCTGCTAAATGACTTAAATGTAAAATGTAATGATGGTGTTGTGAGCCATGACCAGCCTTTCAAAGCACTTCATGGCTACAGACATGAGTGCTATGGGTCGGTAGTCATTTAGGCAGGTTACCTTGGTTTTCTTGGGCACAGGGACTATGGTGGGCTGCTTGAAGCATGTAGGTATTAGACTCGGCCTGGGACAGGTTGAAAATGTCAGTGAGGACACTTGCCAGTTGGTCAGAGCATGCTCAGGAGTACACGTCCTGGTAATCTGCTTGTGAATGTTGACCTGTTTAAAGGTCTTGCTCACATTGGCTACGGAGAGCATGATCTCATGCATGCTTCAGGGTTGCTTGCCTTGACACGCGCATAGTCATTTAGCTCGTCTGGTAGGCTTGTCACTGGGCAGCTCGCCCAGTTTTAATGTTGAGTATTTTTTTTTGTTTTTTAGGTACGGCTGAGGTGTCCTCCATCTTGGAGGAGAAGATCCTGGGGGCTGACACCAGTGCTGATCTGGAAGAGACTGGCCGTGTGCTGTCCATCGGTGATGGTATCGCCAGAGTGTACGGTCTCAGGAATGTTCAGGCTGAGGAGATGGTGGAGTTCTCCTCTGGGCTCAAGGTGCAGATCTAGGAGCAATTTAGTTTATGTATCCTAACTGAACCATGTTGAAATGCTTCTTCTGTTCAATCTACTACTGTTGTCAATCAGCATATTTTAACAAAACGTAATCTATCCTCTTTTCTAGGGTATGTCTCTGAACTTGGAGCCTGACAATGTTGGTGTTGTTGGTGTTCGGTAATGACAAGCTGATCAAAGAGGGCGACATCGTGAAGAGGACTGGTGCCATCGTGGACGTGCCAGTAGGTGAGGAGCTGCTGGGTCGCGTGGTGGACGCTCTGGGCAATGCCATCGACGGAAAGGTGAGGGCAGATTTATGTAGTTAATTGCCAGTCATCAAATATTATTGGTCGCGTACACATATTGCAGATGTTATCGCAGGTGCCACGAAATGCTTATGTTTCTAGCTCCAACAGTGCAGTAATACCTAACAATTGTAGTGATTTTTGTGTATGAAAATAAATATCAGAACGAGCAATGTCCGTCTGGAATAGATATGGTGCCTTCAGAAAGTATTCACTCCCCTTTACTTTTTCCCCATTTTGTTACATCCTGAAATTAAAATGGATAAAATTTGATTTTTTTGGTCATCGCCTACAGACAATACCCCATAATGTCAAATGTTTTTAGACATTGTTACAAATCAATTAAATGAAAAGCTGTATTGTCTTGAGTCAATAAGTATTCAACCTCTTTGTTATGGCAAGCCTAAATAACTTCAGCAGTTAAAAAAAAAAAAAATGACTCGCTCTGTGTGCAATAGTGTTTAACATGCTTGTTTACTGACTACCTCATCTCTGTACCCCAGACCATACAAATATCTGTAAGGTCACTCAGTCGAGCAGTGAATTTCAAACACTGGTTCATCCACAAAGACCAGGGAGGTATTCCAATACCTCGCAAAGGACACCTATTGGTGGATGGGTAAAAATAAAAATACGGACATTGAATATCCCTTTTGAGCATGGTAAATGTAATAATTACACTTTGGATGGTGCATCAATACACACACTACAAATATACAGCTGTCCTTCCTAACTCAGTTGCTGGAGAGGAAGGAAACCGCTCAGGGATTTCACAATGAGGCCAATGGTGACTTTAAAACCGTTAGTTTTAATAGCTGTGATAGGAGAAAATGAAGGATGGATCAACAACATTGTAGTTACTCCACAATACTAACCTAAATGAGAGTGAAAAGAAGGAAGCCTGTGCAGAAAAAAAAAATATTCCAAAACATACATCCTGTTTGCAATAAGGCACTAATGTAAAACTGCCAAATGTTTTTATTAAACTTTTTACCCCTTTTTTTTCTCCCCAATTTCGTGATATCCAATTGGTAGTTAGTCTTGTTCCATCGCTGTAACTCCCGTGCGGACTCGGGAGAGTCGACGGTCGAGAGCCATGCGTCCTCCGAAACACTACCCAGCCAAGCTTTACTGCTTCTTGACACACTGCTCGCTTAACCTGGAAGCCAATGTGTCGAAGGAAACAACGTACAGCTGGCAACCGAAGCCAGCGTGCATGCGCCTGGCCTACACAAGGAGTTGCTAGAGTGCGATGGGACAAGGACATCCCAGCCGGCCAAACCCTCCCCTAACCCGGACCACACTGGGCCAATTGTGCACCGCCTCATGGGTCTCCCGGTCATGACCGGCTGCGACACAGCCCGGGATCGAAACCGGATCTGTAGTGATGCCTCTATCACTGATCAGTGCCTTAGACCGCTGCGCCACTCGGGAGGCCCTAAATAAATTACCTTTTGTCATGAATGCAAAGCGTTATGTTTGGGGCAAATCCAACTCAGCACTGAGTACCACTCTTCATATTTTCAAGCATGGTGGTGGCTGCATCATGTTATGGGTGTGCTTGTCTTGTCATCGGCAAGGACTAGGGAGTTTAAGATTATTAAAAAATAATAATAAAAAACACTGAATATAGATAAGCACAGGCAAAATTCTAGAGGAAAACCTGGTTGTCGGCCTTCCACCAGACATTGGGAGACAAATTCACCTTTCAGCAGGACAATAACCTAAAACACAAGGCCAAATACACTGCTCAAAAAAATAAAGGGAACACTAAAATAACACATCCTAGATCTGAATGAATGAAATAATCGTATTAAATACTTTTTTCTTTACATAGTTGAATGTGCTGACAACAAAATCACACACAAATTATCAATGGAAATCAAATTGATCAACCCTCAAAATTAAAGTGGAAAACCACACTACAGGCTGATCCAACTTTGATGTAATGTCCTTTAAAACAAGTCAAAATGAGGCTCAGTAGTGTGTGTGGCCTCCACGTGCCTGTATGACCTCCCTACAACGCCTGGGCATGCTCCTGATGAGGTGGCGGATGGTCTCCTGAAGGATCTCCTCCCAGACCTGGACTAAAGCATCCGCCAACTCCTGGACATTCTGTTGGTGGATGGAGCGAGACATGATGTCCCAGATGTGCTCAATTGGATTCAGGTCTGGGGAACAGGCGGGCCAGTCCATAGCATCAATGCCTTCCTCTTGCAGGAACTGCTGACACACTCCATCCACATGAGGTCTAGCATTGTCTTGCATTAGGATGAACCCAGGGCCAACCGCACCAGCATATGGTCTCACAAGGGGTCTGAGGATCTCATCTCGGTACCTAATGGCAGTCAGGCTACCTCTGGCGAGCACATGGAGGGCTGTGCGGCCCCCCCCAAAGAAATGCCACCCCACACCATGACTGACCCACCGCCAAACCGGTCATGCTGGAGGATGTTGCAGGCAGCAGAACGTTCTCCACGGCGTCTCCAGACTCTGTCACGTGCTCAGTGTGAACCTGCTTTCATCTGTGAAGAGCACAGGGCGCCAGTGGCGAATTTGCCAATCTTGGTGTTCTCTGGCAAATGCCAAACGTCCTGCACGGTGTTGGGCTGTAAGCACAACCCCCACCTGTGGATGTCGGGCCCTCATACCACCCTCATGGAGTCTGTTTCTGACCGTTTGAGCAGACACGTGCACATTTGTGGCCTGCTGGAGGTCATTTTGCAGGGCTCTGGCAGTGCTCCTCCTGCTCCTCCTTGCACAAAGGCGGAGGTAAAAGTCCTGCTGCTGGGTTGTTGCCCTCCTACGGACTCCTGATGTACTGGCCTGTCTCCTGGTAGCGCCTCCATGCTCTGGACACTACGCTGACAGACACAGCAAACCACCTTGCCACAGCTCGCATTGATGTGCCATCCTGGATGAGCTGCACTACCTGAGCCACTTGTGTGGGTTGTAGACTCCGTCTCATGCTACCACTAGAGTGAAAGCACCGCCAGCATTCAAAAGTGACCAAAACATCAGCCAGGAAGCATAGGAACTGAGAAGTGGTCTGTGGTCACCACCTGCAAAACCAGTCCTTTATTGGGGATGTCTTGCTAATTGCCTATAATTTCCACCTGTTGTCTATTCCATTTGCACAACCGCATGTGACATTTATTGTCAATCAGTGTTGCTACCTAGGTGGACAGTTTGATTTCACAGAAGTGTGATTGACTTGGAGTTACATTGTGTTGTTTAAGTGTTCCCTTTATTTTTTTGAGCAGTGTATATATACTGGAGTTGTTTACCAAGATGACATTGAATGTTCCTGAGTGGCCAAGTTACAGTTTTGACTTAAATCGGCTTGAAAATGTATGGCTAGACTTGAAAATGGAAGTCTAGAAATGATCAACAACCGACTTGACAGAGCTTGAAGAATTCTTAAAAGAAATGTGCAAATATTGTACAATCCAGGTATGCCAAAATCATGGAGACTTACCCAGAAAGACTGACAGCTGTAATCACTGCCAAAGATTATTCTAACATTTAGCTGTGTTTGAATACCCGTAATAACATACTACATACTTAATGAGTATATACTATTAGTTAATTTTAGTATACTGTAAACGAACTGTATCCTTTCAGTTGAGTTTACTAGCGCTTCGCCTGTCTACCGGATGTTGATGCTTTTGCTATGCAACTTCTTGCTAGCTTGTTAGCATAACAAATTACTAGCTAGACATCTTACGACTTCACAATGTCCGTTGAGAACGCACGACTATACCGCTAAGAATGACATTAATAATCAAGTCCATACACATTGGGTAGTTAGCATATAGTTAATATACTGTAGCTCAATTGGTAGAGCATGGCGCTTGTAACGCCAGGGTAGTGGGTTCGATCCCCGGGACCACCCATACGTAAAAATGTATGCACACATGACTGTGTCGCTTTGGATAAAAGTGTCTGCTAAATGGCATAATATTATTTTATTATTAAGTTGGATGTATTAGTAGCCATCTAACGTTAGGTAGCTAGCTAACATACCAGTACATGCAATTGCTGTAATGATATGCTATGTGGTTCGTAAGGCTAGCGTAGCTAACAAATTGTCAGGCGACATAATGTGTAAAGTAATTACTTTATTACATAGCAAAACATTTTTTTTTAACCATTTGTCATTTGTTAAAGCAATACATTTGTATCTGCTCTCGTCGGGCTTCGGCTGCACATTTTCATCAATTTTCTTTTATCTGAAAATGTTGAAGCCAACATTTGCTGAATTGCATTATGGACCCTAAAAGCACAAATGGTGTCCACTGCTTGTATACTTTGTATTTTGGCGAATGTAGTACGACATCCAGGAACTTTTGGCATACTAACTATATCCATACTATGACCAATAAGCATACTACATACTCAATTTACGTCACAAATAGTGCAATAGTATGAGTATTCGAACACCGCTATTGACCACAGCTATTGACTCGGGTGAGAATACTTACATAAATTAGATTTCTGAATTTCATTTTTTATAAATTTGCCAGCATTTCTAAACATGGTTTCACTTTGTCGTTGTGGGGTATTGTGTGTAGATGAGTGAGGGTGAAAAATCAATTTAATCTATTTTGAATTCAGGCAGTAACGCAACAAAATGTGGAAGGCACTGTATATTATACCCAAACCTGTTCCTTTCAGATCTAGGGTCTTTGGGTTGTGACTAGAGGTGTACTACGGCCTGGGCATATCTGGTCTGATCAGAATATTGTAAACCTTTCCTTGTCCCTCAGGGTCCTCTTGGGTCTAGCATCCGTAGGCGTGTGGGTCTGAAGGCCCCTGGCATCATCCCCCGTATCTCTGTGAAGGAGCCCATGCAGACTGGTATCAAGGCCGTGGACAGCCTGGTGCCCATTGGCCGTGGCCAGCGTGAACTGATCATCGGTGACCGGCAGACTGGGTAAACAGATGGCCAGATGCCATCTATCCCTCAGTCGGTCTATTTGAGGATTATGAATCTGCATGTTCAATGTGTAATAAACAATTGTTAAGGTGTTAATGTTCTACTATGCTAACTTAACTTGCAATTTCCTGGAGGGTAGTAGACAGCGCTTCAACCATTCTCTATTGCCTCTCATTCAACTTTAAACCATGCAGTTATATTTGTAGTAATTATTAGCTATGAGATGAGTAATTCTTCCAGTCAACTTTTGCCTCTTTGAGATTTGATTACTCTGACACTCTGGAGCCCAAGTATACTAGAACTGTAATCTAATACAAATTCCCTCTTCAATTCTAACAGCAAAACTGCTATTGCCATTGACACCATTATCAACCAGAAGCGTTTCAACGAAGGCAAAGATGAGAAGAAGAAGCTGTACTGTATCTACGTTGCCATTGGCCAGAAGAGATCCACTGTGGCCCAGCTTGTGAAGAGGCTGACTGACGCTGATGCAATGAAATACACCATTGTGGTGTCTGCTACAGCTTCTGATGCTGCTCCCCTGCAGTACCTGGCCCCCTACTCTGGCTGCTCCATGGGAGAGTTCTTCAGAGACAACGGCAAGCACGGCCTCATCATCTATGATGATTTGTCCAAGCAGGTGAGAAGGGGAAGTCGGGGCTGAGTGGAGAGTCTTGCGTGTGATGCTGCTTCATGAAAAAAGAATGAAACCAGGCTCTGTTAATCTACCCATGTTTAGTAGCTGTATTCGCATCCCTCCTTCCTCTCCAGGCTGTAGCCTACCGTCAGATGTCCCTGCTGTTGCGTCGTCCCCCCGGTCGCGAGGCCTACCCCGGTGATGTGTTCTACCTGCACTCCCGTCTACTGGAAAGAGCCGCTAAGATGCACGACAACTTCGGAGGCGGCTCCCTGACCGCTCTGCCCGTCATTGAGACCCAGGCCGGAGACGTGTCTGCCTACATCCCCACCAATGTCATCTCCATCACTGACGGACAGGTGGGTGCGGTGTGGAGAGACGTCATTTCATTGAAGGCCCCACTTAACTTTTTTCCAGGGGACATGTCAAAGATGAATGTAATCCCTAAACAGAAGTGTGCTCTCTCCCCTGCAGATCTTCTTGGAGACTGAGTTGTTCTACAAAGGTATCCGCCCAGCCATCAACGTGGGTCTGTCTGTGTCCAGAGTCGGATCAGCTGCCCAGACCAAGGCCATGAAGCAGGTGTGACCTGGGGCTCCTTAGGAGACTGATATTATACATCAGATAAATGCAGATAAACATTTTTAGTTCGTTGCAGTTTGTGATTTACCCTAGAGTATTTTCTCACTTGGAATCAGTCTCCTAAATCTGTAATATGATTGTGGTCTTGACTGTGTAGGTGGCTGGTACCATGAAGCTCGAGTTGGCCCAGTACCGAGAGGTGGCTGCCTTTGCCCAGTTTGGCTCTGACCTGGACGCTGCCACCCAGCAGCTGCTCAACAGGGGAGTGCGCCTCACTGAGTTGCTCAAACAGGGACAGTACTGTGAGTGTCACCACCCAGTGTGCTAATAAAGTTTAACATTTTGTATGTTGTCAACCAGGCCCACTCCTTCATTTGGGGCAACATATTTTTATTTTACTCTCTCTCCCTCCCCCAGGCCCCATGGCCATTGAGGAGCAGGTGACAGTCATCTACGCTGGTGTCCGAGGTCATTTGGACAAGATGGACCCTTCCAAGATCACCAGGTTTGAGAAGGCCTTCCTTGGGCACGTCCTCAGCCAGCACCAGGACCTGCTCACCACAATCAGGTAACAGGACTGTCTGAGCTATCGGTCAAAACCAATGGTTGATGTTGAAATCATTATGAGCGTTGATATACATTTCATCTGAAGTAATGACTCTTGTTTTATTCCAGGACCGATGGCATGATCTCACCGACAGCTGACGCCAAACTGAAGGAGATTGTGTTGACCTTCCTGTCAAGCTTTGATTGAGTGAAACTGCTCCTGTTCCTTCAGTGCTTACTGTCTGTCCCATTGTCCTATTATTATATGTATGTCAAACATTGAAGGCCAGAACCTCCATGTACAGATTTCTCCTAAGAAGAAATAAAATTGTACAACCTTAGAAGAGCTGTGGTAAAATTTGACTGTTCGTGGTAGACAGTGCCAGTCCAGCAGATTTTCCAGTTGAAGGGAATGAAAAATAATTAATGCAGTAAGTGTTTCTCCCACGGTGGGTCTTTATATACTACTCTAAATATCTTGTGACTGTTCATGAATTTCACGTGACCAAAAAACAACTTAGTGGTCTCAAAATATACAGAATAATAGGATATCAAAACAGTTAATTTTGCATCACAAAAATGCAGCACATTCAGTCAACCATAAAGCGTTTAATTGACTTAAAATAAATGTATGGCATTGATTGTATTTAGCAACTGTTGCAATGTCTGTTGGAAAATTCCTTTCTCGCTGTTGGGGCTCATGAGTGACCAGTTTCTGTAAAGCTGGAATGTTGGCTGTAACTCGTTTATGATGAAAATAAAGGTATCCACACTTAATGTAAAACTCTTGCGATCATGTTTTTACCTAGTACAGCTTCTCACCCATAAATCTGGACCAATACTGCCCTTTGCGTTTTGATACAATGACATAAGCCCTAGTAACTCAGCACATGATTGTCAAAGTTGTATTACTCTTAGTAATACAATTTGATTTGGATTCCATATAAGACCGAGTTCTGAAAATGAGGGGTTATTCATAATTGTATTTTAATTTGGAATTAGTTTTACTCTTGTCAAATCCTTTGCTAAGGTCAGTCTCTCCAGACTCACCATCCATTTACCTCCCCACTGCAATTAAAGTTTTTCCACCAGAGGGTGGTAGTTGATCTGGTTGACCACATCAGGAGAGCAGACAATGTCATCTGAATTACATGAGATATCTTTAGTAGGTTTTTGCACTAATAAACTGTAATAAACATTTAGTGTATATAACAGCATTTTCCCAGCTGATTCATTTAAACACTATTGTCGAGTGCATTGCTTGGCAAGCGTGAGAGCAACCTGACAGAGTTTGAATGGGGCTTCTGTCAATGAAGACTTGTCTGGGTCAAAATTGTCTCTTTCCTAGCCTCGTGAGAAGGGCTAGGGTCAGAACAACAAGCCCAGTGATAAAGATATGGTTACATTTTATATCAAAGTGAAACACTTGTCTGATCAATTTGAAACTGAGTAAGTCCAACCTGAACAGAAAAATCATGAGATCTTCAGCAAGTTTGAGAACTCAAAACAGCAAGTGGAAATTGACTGGTTAAATAAACAATTAGTACCCTTTTAGTAGCTGCCTGTTTATGGTATTCAAAACCACATTTGACCACTTTGCACATTTCATGCATACAGTGGGGAAAAAAAGTATTGTCAGCCACCAATTGTGCAAGTTCTCCCACTTAAAAAGATGAGGCCTGTAATTTTCATCATAGGTACACGTCAACTATGACAGACAAATTGAGAAAAAAAATCCTGAAAATCACATTGTAGGATTTTATATGAATTTATTTGCAAATTATGGTGGAAAATAAGTATTTGGTCACCTACAAACAAGCAAGATTTCTGGTTCTCACAGACCTGTAACTTCTTCTTTAAGAAGCTCCCTTGTCCTCCACTCGTTACCTGTATTAATGGCACCTGTTTGAACTTGTTATCAGTATAAAAGACACCTGTCCACAACCTCAAACAGTCACACTCCAAACTCCACTATGGCCAAGACCAAAGAGCTGTCAAAGGACACCAGAAACAAAATGGTAGACCTGCACCAGGCTGGGAAGACTGAATCTGCAATAGGTAAGCAGCTTGGTTTGAAGAAATCAACTTTGGGAGCAATTATTAGGAAATGGAAGACATACAAGACCACTGATAATCTCCCTCGATCTGGGGCTCCACGCAAGATCTCACCCCGTGGGGTCAAAATGATCACAAGAACGGTGAGCAAAAATCCCAGAACCACACGGGGGGACCTAGTGAATGACCTGCAGAGAGCTGGGACCAAAGTAACAAAGCCTACCATCAGTAACACACTACGCCGCCAGGGACTCAAATCCTGCAGTGCTAGATGTGTCCCCCTGCTTAAGCCAGTACATGTCCAGGCCCATCTGAAGTTTGCTAGAGTGCATTTGGATGATCCAGAAGAGGATTGGGAGAATGTCAGATGAAACCAAAATAGAACTTTTTGGTAAAAACTCAACTTGTCGTGTTTGGAGGACAAAGAATGCCATACCTACTGTGAAGCATGGGGGGTGGAAACATCATGCTTTGGGGCTGTTTTTCTGCAAAGGGACCAGGACGACTGATCCGTGTAAAGGAAAGAATGAATGGGGTCATGTATCGTGAGATTTTGAGTGAAAACCTCCTTCCATCAGCAAGGGCATTGAAGATGAAACGTGGCTGGGTCTTTCAGCATGACAATGATCCCAAACACACCGCCCGGGCAACGAAGGAGTGGCTTCGTAAGAAGCATTTCAAGGTCCTGGAGTGGCCTAGCCAGTCTCCAGATCTCAACCCCATAGAAAATCTTTGGAGGGAGTTGAAAGTCCGTGTTGCCCAGCAACAGCCCCAAAACATCACTGCTCTAGAGGAGATCTGCATGGAGGAATGGGCCAAAATACCAGCAACAGTGTGTGAAAACCTTGTGAAGACTTACAGAAAACGTTTGACCTGTGTCATTGCCAACAAAGGGTATATAACAAAGTATTGAGAAACTTATTTTCCACCATAATTTGCAAATAAATTCATTAAAAATCCTACAATGTGATTTTCTGGATTTCTTTTTCTTCTCATTTTGTCTGTCATAGTTGATGTGTACCTATGATGAAAATTACAGGCCTCTCTCATCTTTTTAAGTGGGAGAACTTGCACAATTGGTGGCTGACTAAATACTTTTTTTCCCCACTGTACTTGCTTAACCATAACAACTGGTTAATCTAGTAGAGAGATAGTAGTGTTGTAAAGATCTCCTTTCTCCGGTATCAGCTGAGGCATGAGATCAGCAGTTTTGACCCTTTATTAAATCAATTAAATAATACCAGCTTTTATAGTCAGCTTCCAAATTCAAAAGTCACATGAACATAAATGTATTTGTCATGTAATCATTTCACATGAACATCATACGGGGAACATTACATTTCCTTCTATCCAATAGATTTTGTATGCAGTATCTCACCCTTTGTAGTTGCATGATAACTTTGAATCAGAGAAATTAAAGGACCAATCTGCAGTTGAAACAATAAAGTGGCGACACCACAACTGTTTTGGTAAAAAGCTGATCAAGGGGGCTGGAGAAATGTAACCACTCTCAAATTCATAGACTATTGATACAAGGACTGACCATCGATGATATCAAAATCATAGTTTTAACCATGTTTTGAGGCTATACAGTTTGTTTAAATGTATGGTGTTTACAAACATTGGAGTAAAACAACTTTATATTTTTGGTTCTGATGGGGAACAACAGTTAAACTAAGCTCATGAGGCATTTATAAGTTATATTCTTCAAGAATAAATGGGTATTTATCATTCATTTATAAGTACAAAAATTATTGAAGCAACTGCGGATTGCCCCTTTCTTTGAATATGATGAATATCATCTCTTTGTTGTCATTCTCTGATAGGTCACCCATTATTATTTAGTATAAAGCTGTAGCTTTGTAAGAGATGCTGTCCTCTAGAACATCAGATGCTGATTCATAGAGGAATAGAACATTGTTGGAAGGAACAAAATGGCTCCTCCTGTCACACAAAATAGAAGTGATGGAGAATCACAATGGAGAAAATCTGAGCTTCAATTATGTCCCATAACTAGGGCCCAGAGTTTTCCTGGTGAGATCACACGGTCGGGAAAACTCCTGGCCCCAGTAATGGGACTTGAAAGTTGTGTACTGGGTAGAGGAGAGCCCTAAAGGAGAAACCCCTCTTAACCTTATAACTCTCTGTAATTAGACATGGCATTGAGAGATTTACTCTCTCTGGTTAAAACAGATCCTCTGCAGGGGATCAGGCTGGTATCCAATCCATGCTATAACATCCTTCTCTGAGTACTCAACAGGTAATAGTTGGAGAGAGCAGGCCGGCATACTGAAAGCCTTTAGCTTACACAGATAGTAGAAATGGTAGTACCTCACTGTTTGAGCAGTTGCTGGACAGCAACTAAGCACTGACAGCAGTTGTTAGTAGAGGACTATGGTGCATGTTACATAAGAATGTGTTTGATTTGAAGATGATTTAATTACCATTTGCATGTCCATTATGTCTATGGGTGTGGCTGAAAGATGAGGACCCACCCACAACAGCTGAGCGTGAGACAGAACACAAATATGTAGTTCCAGACTTGTGGTGAGTACGCCTCTATATTTTTGTCTGAAGTCTGTACTGTGGCTCTTGAGGAGCATTAGGAAAAGGAATATGATCCTTGTGTTTAGAGCCCACCCTGCCTTACCTCCTGGGCCTCTGGGCCCCACCTAACTCTTACTTCAAAAAGAGATACTTTATGTCAATGGGACATCCTGGTTAAATAAAGGTTGAATAAATAACAAAAGAAGCCTACCCAGGCTTTTTGCGGTATAGTTTTGGATCTCACTAAACAACGCACACACTTCTACAGTTCACAAAATGTGTCTCAGACACACTACTATTCCCTGTACCGAAGTACCAAAATGGAATTCCATCTTTATTCGTGTCACAATAGCTAGCATCTTGTTTTCCGAAAAGCTCAAAACACAGTTTTTACAACAGTACGTCTGCATACAAACTGCAAAAATTAATTTGTGTATTTGCCACTATGATTTCTATTCTTGGACACATTTGTAAGGAGTTTCCAGTGAGCTTTGAGCAAGTGTCAGCAACAATCTGGCTATGGCAGTATTCAAAAAAATATACAGTACATAATTTCAGAGTTCAGTAAGTCTCCTGACTTTCATTTAAGCTTTAGGACAGTCGTGGTATTTCATTCACAGGTGTAATACTTATTATTGGCCAGGCTACACACGGACACTCATTACTCACTGTAACAATCTTGAATTTCATTAATTTCAAACACAATCCTCAAACCAATGCAATCACAACCGTTCCAACAAGCTCAGACCTCACAGCGCAATTGCACACAAAGACCAGGAATTGAATACAAGGACCGTTAGCTCAACACACATAGGCAAGATCATTGGCTCTGAGAGGACTTAACATCTGTCTTCAGGGGTCAGGCAACATGATATTTCCACGACAGTCAATGCCAATGACCTGAAATGCATTTAAATAAATAACCATAGTCCTCTGTAGCAGATGGCAGGTAGTTGTAGCTAGCTTAACATGCTACTTGTCCTCAATGCATTGTCCATGTTGTAGCCAAAGCTTCACTCTGTGCTTCCATAGTGGTTCCCATTAGCAGGGTTGTCCTGTAGACTGGGGTGGGACATCTCCACTGGTATCTCTACTGGATCAACAGGCGTCTTGAAGAAATCGGACACATAGAACACCTGTGTTGGGAGAGGAGAGGACAGCATTTCTAATACAATGGAGACTGAAACTGAGAAAACTACTTGCAGTGAACAGTATAAACATGAATGATGTTGTCTCTAAGGGAATGGTAATACATGGTTTGATCATATATACTTCCATGCAGAAACATAAGGTGCCCACTCTTATGCATTTAACTAGCTACCTGTGTCAATGTGAATAATGAACTACAACAATGACTATCAATTTGTTTTACGTGTTTACCCTAATTGGCTGGGCCGGTTGTCAATCTGGCTGGGCCAGTGCCCAGGCCCACCTGTGTCTATAGCCTATAGCAGTGGTTCCCAACCTTTTTTGAACAGTGACACACCTTGATGGGATATACAATTCTGCGGCACACCTAAAATGTTCCTATTAATGTATTTAGTGGTAATGACTGCCATCTCCTCTGATCCATACTGCAAATCATCTATTTTCTGTGGCAAAATTTTTTATAGATGAAATAGCGAATCTGTGCCAGAAAGAAAATAATGTAGCTCTGGTAAAATAGTTCTTCAGATTTGAACAGTTTGGGCTACAGACAAGTGTTTTTTTGCATTGTAAAGGTGCAGTCATGGACTGAAAGCCATGCTCTGTTTGTTTCTATGGCAGAGGCTGTGGTATAGCTATGCCCAGGGCCATATATTAAGAACTAAATGCCTTTGGCTAAGCTTAATCAGACTTGCCTGAGCTAATGGTTTTCACAGACAAAGTAAAATTATTGATGACTTTGCTCGTGATGTGCGCCCCTCAAATAATACAAATGTAACACCAGCCTGAGCGCACTGGACTTGAAACAACGATACAGACGTAACCATGTGCCATTTAATGTATTGTCTGACAGGCACTAGTGCTCCCAAATCAAAATTCCATGTGCATTCCACAGGTCACGTTTATAAGTGAGTGTTAAAAAAACTATCCAGATTAGGAAAAGTTTTGCGGCACACATGAGAGTTCCTCATGGCACACTGGTTTGGAACCAATAGCCTATAGCTAGCTACCCACCGTGAGTATTGCAACTATCGCCCCCTGCAGGAGGCCAGTAAGTACGTCATTCCAGTGGTGTTTGTAGTCTGAGACGCGCGACAGCCCCACATAGATGGACGCTGCGATCAGGAAGAACTGGATGGTGGGTCTCAGGAGCCTGGCCCACTCTGTCTGCAGTCTGGCCTGGATGTACAGCTACAAGAGAGGGCAGAAGGACACCATCAACATCATGAAAGGGAGCTATTGCTTAGGGACAGAGAGAGAACTGAACTATTGTAACAATGAGCACACTATACCCTCTGCTATACTTACTGCAAGGAACAGCATACAGTACATAGAGAAGGATGAGTGACCAGAAAAAAAAGAAAGTCTGTAAAACAAAAGACAAAAAAGATTAGGGGAAACTGGGTTTACAGCATCACAAACATCTTTCGAGTTTGCATTTCCCAGTTGAGTTTAGAGTTTTTCAGTCTCAATTTTGCAGCAATATCTTCTCTTGGGATGTAACTTTAGGAACCCTCTACTGTACCTGGCCTCATCCACCATGTTCTTGTCCCCGGTACAGGTGAAGTTCTCGATGTAGCCTCCAGCCACGCAGTTGATACGGTCCCACACAGGCTTACACACAGCCAGGAAGTGGGGACGCAGACGACCAATCGAGTACTTGGCAATGTCCGTCAGTGATTGGCTAGCAGCAGCCCCGAACAGGAAGCTGCCCACTGCTTTGTAGATGCGCGCCACGTAGTTAGTCCCCAAGGATGATTTGGTCTTGATACGACTCATATAGACGCCAAGGCACTCACCACTGACTACCTGTAAAAGCAAGAGAAGTCATCTTTAACTGAGGTCAATCGAATATACTTACATATTGTCTCATATAATTGTACTTTTACCATAAACATTTAAAACACAATTACCTGATATTCCGATGATATTTTGAAGAGAACATCTGAGAAAAGGGCAGAAGTAATGACTTACCACAATCAGTGTGAAAGGGATCATGACTCCCCCCAGTAACTGGTAGGATATAGTGTCCTCTTTCAGGGGGTATCTGATGGACTCATCATTACAGAAGAAACCCCTTTTGAAGGGATTGTGCTGAGGGGTGAGGATCACAAAGGGAAGTCCAACTGGAGAGAGAGATAGACAAAGAAAGATAGAGATAATCAGCAATAGTCTCCTAGTTCAAACTAGCTTTTGTAAACATACTTTGAAGGTTCTGCTGTAATTCTTTAAAACACGCTGTTGACCAAACCTTCACAGGAGAAAGGAACTTGGTAGGCAAAACCTGATACAAATCAATATGCAAATAATGCATGCTTGTTCATGCTTTCACTTGATTTGGTTATACCATTCTCTCCTGCCCTGACCTCCCTCTCACCTTCCCAAATAGCCCACCCATGGCCAAGGTAACAAATAAAGGTAAAAGTCAATACAATAAAGGAGGGACACAACAATTTACTAAATAATAAGAGTCCAGGAAGTAAGTGGACAGCACATCAACCACCATAAGTGGCCAAAAACAATAGGAAAATCAGACAACACCTGTTTCTAAAATTAATGAGAGCCGTGCCTTACTTCTCTGAAACAGACTGGCAACCAGGCTAGTCGGTTAGCTGATCTAACTAGCGATAACATGATTTGATGGAGATGCTGGTGTAAAAGATGTCACGCTGCTTGCTTAGCGAGTACCCCTTCCTCCTGATTCAGCTCACACCGAGTCTCGAACCCAGGAGCTCTGCCTTGCTAGCACACGTGACTGCGTTCCTGAAGCGTCTTACCAGTCGGCAGCTGGCGAAAAGCTAGCTATTCGGTGGCACAAGTGGGGACACTTCAAGCTGAGGAGTAAGTTTCACACATCCCTATGTGCTACATTGGCATGGATGTCTAAATGCTTCTGCCACTCAGTCTGACTCACTCAGGCACACAGTCCAATTCACCTGTAACAGAGTGGATTACTCTCTTACGCTACTCTGCTCTCATCTGATTTCTGTCTATCTCACACTCCACAACATGTCCACAACAATTAGGCCTTTACCAAGAGAAATATGGAAAAACTAGGCCTAACTATACAATAGGATACCAATGGGATATTACCAATTGGTAAAAAATGTCAGAAGCCTGGTATTCTCAACAACACTAACAGAAAGATATAGAAGAGTCTGTGGGGGTGCTGCTGTGGCCCAGGAGTAGTGAATGCAGGTCAGTGAAAGCAAATGCTAAAATAAATAGTTTAAAAGTGTGGCAGTAGAATTCCGTGTCCTGATATCTCATTCAGTCTCTCCTAGCAGCAATGGTGGAAAAAGTACACCATTTCCATACTTGAGCAAAAGTAAAGATACCTTAATAGAAAATGACTCAAGTAAAAGTGAAAGTCACCCAGTAAAATAATACTTGAGTAAAAGTCAAACAGTATTTGGTTTTAAATATACTTAAGTATCAAAAGTAAATGTAATTGCTCAAATATACTTAAGTATCAAAAGTAGAGGTAAAAGTACAAATTATTTCAAATTCCTTATATTAAGCAAACCAGATGGCATGATTTTTTATTTACGGATAGCCAGCGGCACACTCCAACACTCAGACATCATTTACAAACAAAGCATTTGTGTTTAGTGAGTCCGCCAGATCAGAGGCAGTAGGGATGACCAGGGATGTTCTCTTGATGATTGCGTGAATTGGACAATTTTCCTGTCCTGCTAAGCATTCGAAATGTAACGACTACTTTTGGGTGTCAGGGAAAATGTATGGAGTAAAAAGTACATTATTTTCTTTAAGAATGTAGTGGAGTAAAAGTAAAAGTTGTCAAAAATATAAATAGTAAAGTAAAGTACAGATACCCCAAAAAACAACTTAAGTAGTACTTGAAAGTATTTTTACTTAAGTACTTTACACCACTGCCTAGCAGAAGGCTACATATACTATGACCCACTATTCCCAATTTACAGTGTTAGTCTTCATCAGCTTCAAAGTTCAACTACATTTGTTGTAAGTTGGAACTAGGTTTGTTGTTTGTTAAAATCCCCTTCTATTCAACCCACTTCCTCTCTTCACACCTACTGTAACTCAGGTTACACGACCAGACTTGCTCTATCTTGATTCTGGCCAGTAAAGCACATTCAAACCCTGTCGGCAGATTCCAGCCTAAATGAGTTAACTACACTCTTAGAAAAAAAGGTGCTCTCTAGAACCTTAAAGGGTTCTTTGGCTCTCCCAATACTAGAACCCTTTTGGCATCCATATAGAACTATTTCTACAGTGGGTTCTACATGGAACCCAAAAGGGTTCTTCCTAGAACCAAAAAGGGTTCTATCTGGAACCAAACATGGTTATCCAATGGTGAAATCTGAAGAACCCTTGTGGAACCCTTTTTTCTAAGAGTGTAGCAGTCACAGGTCTTTGATTAGAGCCTGTCATGTTGGGGAGTATGGACACCATGTGCCATCCTTTGTTGAACATTCTGACTGCTTCTAATTGATCACAAAAGGTGGGATATGCTACACTAGACACTTACTCCAAGTTGCGCTTAGGCAGAATAAGGATCAGTTTAGCGTTAGTCTTAAAACCCTGATTTAGGTCAGGGTCTTGGTCTGGCAACTCACGTGGTTAATGCCACTGAGTACCATGTCTTGACAAGACTTGTCTGAGTTATCTGACTAAGTAGAGGTGAGACAACACAAAAGTGCTAGAGAACCTTGCTTTTTAAAATATGGAAGCCGGAGGGACAAAATCATTTTTATGACGTTTTAAGATGGTTGGCCTGAGTCTAGTCTGGGTCTTGTTTTTTTCACAGAGTTCCGGTTTTGACTCCATCGTTGCTCGACTGTAGCCTGCCTGTGTCTTTCATCACACAAAATCACAAAATCCTGCACCATCTTTAGTTACACTAAAAAATGTGGCAAAAACAACCCAAACCTCCAAAACCCTGTGCTTTGGTGTGATGACCCTTTCGTCAAATCCCTACATTAAGAGTAAGCCTATTCAGACCCAGATCCAGACTGCGTTTAGATCAAGACCACGAGATCAAGACTCCATCTCTGCAGTCAAGGGATAGGAAATGTACCCCAATTTGAGAATTACTCACATACACTTTAGAAAACACACTATGGATAATGGCATGATCATGTTGTGGTAAAATGTAATAACTGAACCCCACTGAACCCAATATCTACCCCTCTGACTCTCTTGTTTAATATGCAACCAGAAGGCTATATTCAAATCAACAATAAACCTTGTGGGCCTGAATGATCAAATACAATATAGGCTACAGGTTATAAGCTTATACAGTTGAAGTCGTAAGTTTACATACACTTAGGTTGGAGTCATTAAAACTAGTTTTTCAACAACTCCACACATTTCTTGTTAACAAACTATAGTTTTGGCAAGTCGGTTAGGACATCTACTTTCTGCATGACACAAATAATTTTTCCAACAATTGTTTACAGACAGATTATTTAACTCAGAATTCACTGTATCACAATGCAAGTGGGTCAGAAGTTTACATAAACTAAGTTGACTGTGCCTTTAAACAGCTTGGAAAAATCCAGAAAATGATGTCATGGATTTAGAAGCTTCTGATAGGCTAATTGACATCATTTGAGTCAATTGGAGGTGTACCTGTGGAATATATTTCAAGGCCTACCTTCAAACTCAGTGCCTCTTTGCTTGACATCATGGGAAAATCAAAAGAAATCAGCCAAGACCTCAAAACAAAAATGGTAGACCTCCACAAGTCTTGTTCATCCTTGGGAGCAATTTCCAAATGCCTGAAGGTACCACGTTCATCTGTACAAACAATAGTATGCAAGTATAAACACCATGGGACCACGCAGCCGTCATACCGCTCAGGAAGGAGACGCGTTCTGTCTCCTAGAGATGAACGTACTTTGGTTTGAAAAGTGCAAATCAATCCCAATACAACAGCAAAGGACCTTGTGAAGATGCTGGAGGAAACAGGTACAAATGTATCTATATTCACAGTAAAACGAGTCCTATATCGACATAACCTGAAAGGCCGCTCGGCAAGGAAGAAGCCACTGCTCCAAAACCGCCATAAAAAAGCCAGACTGCGGTTTGCAACTGCACATGGGGACAAAGATTGTACTTTTGGGAGAAATGTCCTCTGGTCTGATGAAACAAAAATAGAACTGTTTGGCCATAATGACCATTGTTATGTTTGGAGGAAAAAGGGGGGGCTTGCAAGCCGAAGAACACCATCCCAACCGTGAAGCACGGGGGTGGCAGCATCATGCTGTGGGGGTGCTTGGCTGCAGGAGGGACTGGTGCACTTCACAAAATAGATGGCATCATGAGGAAGGAAAATTATGTGGATATATTGAAGCAACATCTCAAGACATCAGTCAGGAAGTTAAAGCTTGGTCGCAAATGGGTCTTCCAAATGGACAATGACCCCAAGCATACTTCCAAAGTTGTGGCAAAATGGCTTAAGGACAACAAAGTCAAGGTATTGGAGTGGCCATCACATAGCCCTGACCTCAATCCTATAGAAAATTTGTGGGCAGAACTGAAAAAACGTGTGCGAGCAAGGAGGCCTACAAACCTGACTCAGTTACACCAGCTCTGTCAGGAGGAATGGGCCAAAATTCACCCAACGTATTGTGGGAAGCTTGTGGAAGGCTACCCAAAACGTTTGACCCAATTTAAACAATTTAAAGGCAATGCTACCAAATACGGATTGAGTGTATGTAAACATCTGACCCGCTGGGAATGTGATAAAATAAATAAAAACTGAAATAAATCATTCTCTCTACTATTATTCTGACATTTCACATTCTTAAAATAAAGTGGTGATCCTAACTGACCTAAGACAGGGAATTCTTACTAGGATTAAATGTCAGGAATTGTGAAAAACTGAGTTTAAATGTATTTGGCTAAGGTGTATGTAAACTTCCGACTTCAACTGTAGCTAAAACTAGAACACAAAGTTATTACCTGGTCAAGACATGGTCAGGAAAAACTTGTGGCCCTAGTTCTTATAATATACATCCATACTGTGTGTTGTATGCTATTATAAACCGGGTGGTTAGAGCCCTAATGCTGACTGGCTGAAAGCCTTGGTATGACAAAAAAGTCATTTTTACTGTCTGTTCTAATTACGTTGGTAACCAGTTTATAATAGCAATAAGGCACTTCTGGGGTTTGTGGTGTATGGCTAATATACCACGGCTAAGGGCTGTATCCAGGCACTCAGCGTTGCGTCGTGCTAAAGAACAGCCCTTAGCCGTACTACATTGGCCGTATACCACACCCCCTCGTGCCTTATTGCTTAATTATAACAGTGTTATTGACCACAACATCTCTAGTAGTGGGTGAGCAGTGGAATAGGTCAGCAGTGGAATATAACACCCATTCATTCACAGACTTAGACACTTACTGTTAGATAAAAGTAACCCATGCACCTATTGGCATAATGTAGGCTGACTACAATAGTCGTAATAAAGAGATACCTCCGATAGAACTGGTGTATAGGCTACAGTAGACTAGTGCAGAATAACTTCTCACAGAACAGGAACTCTATAGGACTTGACACTGCCAACAACATGGTAAGTACGTAGGTTACATACCGAGGATAAGGCAGGTTACGTCGAGAAGGACGAGAGGGATTCCCCCAGTCTCAAACATGTTGCGTCTCTGGACTTCTGTTTTTGACAAATCCGTAGACTCCGGAGCGTCCAGCTGCGGTCGGCTATTTTTCGGCGAGATGAGAGAAAGCCTATCGGTGGAACATGCCTCGCTATTTGTTCAAAACAACACAAATATATACAAAAACGATCAATATTGTAGGTCTTACTAAGCCTAAACCAAAAAAACAACGTTTTTTGTGTTTTTTTTATTTATCAAGGGGGCTACTGTCTAGTCAACAAACTAGGCCTATACCTAAAACCACTACGTTTTAATCCCATTACCCTTTAGAATTGGCACAACCCAACTTCATAATATAACTGATTCTTCAGCAAAAAAAAAGATACTCATAATCTCCTGGCCCTTCCCGTAAAATACACCAGTAATAAAACAGGCAGGCCTCGCGTTGTGATTATGATAGGGAGGTGGGCTCAGGTGAAGAGCCTATCGCGTGCTTGCTAGGAAATACGACAGCCGTCGCCCGATGCTCGACACGCTCCACCCCTCATCCTCGCTATGCAATGTTGAGGTTACGTCACTGCAGGAAACTGCACTGCTAGAGGGTAGGGAAAGTGTTCAATGGAATAGCACTAACTATTATCAATTAATTTACTCTGATTATATTGACACTTAGAAGGAAGAGGACAATAAAGGTGACAATAGAGATGCAACAATCTATCAATAGCCTATGTGGCAAGTATACATTCTTATAGAGGTTCTACCAAGCCAGTGTTTCTTCTATCCTTTGTCGAAACATGTCTGACCATGGAACACTGGCAGTGGTGAGTACACACCCTGTAGTTATGTCTGTGCATCCTGCAAAAACACTCTCAGGGCAAGAAACAACACACGCACACACACACAGGGAGAGACAGAGAGAGATGGTTTTGAAATATTGACTCTCCCAATTTATTAATGCAAGACCAGAAAGACCACAAATATTGACATACCTGCAATTGCTCATCTACGCCCAAATCATATAAAAGGATATGATGATACAGTGGGGAAAAAAGTATTTAGTCAGCCACCAATTGTGCAAGTTCTCCCACTTAAAAAGATGAGAGAGGCCTGTAATTTTCATCATAGGTACACGTCAACTGACAGACAAAATGAGGAAAAAAAATCCAGAAAATCACATTGTAGGATTTTTAATGAATTAATTTGCAAATTATGGTGGAAAATAAGTATTTGGTCAATAACAAAAGTTTCTCAATACTTTGTTATATACTCTTTGTTGGCAATGACACAGGTCAAACGTTTTCTGTAAGTCTTCACAAGGTTTTCACACACTGTTGCTGGTATTTTGGCCCATTCCTCCATGCAGATCTCCTCTAGAGCAGTGATGTTTTGGGGCTGTCGCTGGGCAACACGGACTTTCAACTCCCTCCAAAGATTTTCTATGGGGTTGAGATCTGGAGACTGGCTAGGCCACTCCAGGACCTTGAAATGCTTCTTACGAAGCCACTCCTTCGTTGCCCGGGCGGTGTGTTTGGGATCATTGTCATGCTGAAAGACCCAGCCACGTTTCATCTTCAATGCCCTTGCTGATGGAAGGAGGTTTTCACTCAAAATCTCATGATACATGGCCCCATTCATTCTTTCCTTTACATGCATCAGTCGTCCCGGTCCCTTTGCAGAAAAACAGCCCCAAAGCATGATGTTTCCACTCCCATGCTTCACAGTAGGTATGGTGTTCTTTGGATGCAACTCAGCATTCTTTGTCCTCCAAACACGACGAGTTGAGTTTTTACCAAAATGTTCTATTTTGGTTTCATCTGACCATATGACATTCTCCCAATCCTCTTCTGGATCATCCAAATGCACTCTAGCAAACTTCAGACGGGCCTGGACATGTACTGGCTTAAGCAGGGGGACACGTCTGGCACTGCAGGATTTGAGTCCCTGGCGGCGTAGTGTGTTACTGATGGTAGGCTTTGTTACTTTGGTCCCAGCTCTCTGCAGGTCATTCACTAGGTCCCCCCGTGTGGTTCTGGGATTTTTGCTCACCGTTCATGTGACCATTTTGACCCCACGGGGTGAGATCTTGCGTGGAGCACCAGATCGAGGGAGATTATCAGTGGTCTTGTATGTCTTCCATTTCCTAATAATTGCTCCCACCGTTGATTTCTTCAAACCAAGCTGCTTACCTATTGCAGATTCAGTCATCCCAGCCTGGTGCAGGTCTACAATTTTGTTTCTGGTGTCCTTTGACAGCTCTTTGGTCTTGGCCATAGTGGAGTTTGGAGTGTGACTGTTTGAGGTTGTGGACAGGTGTCTTTTATACTGATAACAAGTTCAAACAGGTGCCATTAATACAGGTAACGAGTGTAGGACAGAGGAGCCTCTTAAAGAAGAAGTTACAGGTCTGTGAGAGCCAGAAATCTTGCTTGTTTGTAGGTGACCAAATACTTATTTTCCACCATAATTTGCAAATAAATTCATAAAAAATCCTACAATGTGATTTTCTGGATTATTTTTTCTCAATTTGTCTGTCATAGTTGACGTGTACCTATGATGAAAATTACAGGCCTCTCTCATCTTTTTAAGTGGGAGAACTTGCACAATTGGTGGCTGACTAAATACTTTTTTCCCCCACTGTACATGCAATCAGCATTATTTTAACTACTTGATCCTTCTATCCAAGTTATGGGCTCCAGGTCGGTTGGTTGGGTCCCAGCCAGTTCCTCTTGGTTTGTGGGTAAAGTTTGGGTTGTGGCTACATACATGGTTTTATCTATTAGATGGGTAACACAGTGTCTACCAGTTTGAAGAAGAGGGAAGTACCATAGGCCTAAATATGAATATGCTTCGACAGTCTGTTTCTCATAATTCATATTTCAATTCATATAACTAAAACCTTTAAAGCAATATGACCTGGTATTACATATTCAGATACAGTTATAAACACAAAAACAAAAACATCCTCCATTTATACAGTGGCTTGCAAAAGTATTCACCCCCCTTGGCATTTTTCCTATTTTGTTGCCTTACAACCTGGAATTTAAATGGATTTTTTTGGGGTTTGTATCATTTGATTTACACAACATGCCTACCACTTTGAAGATGCAAAATATTTTTTTTTGTGAAACAAACAAAAAAACAGAAAACCTGAGCGTGCACTATTCACCCCCCTAAAGTCAATACTTGAGGTATGTCTCTATAAGCTTGGCACATCTAGTCTCTGGGATTTTTGCCCATTCTTCAAGGCAAAACTGCTCCAGCTCCTTCAAGTTGGATGGGTTCCGCTGGTGTACAGCAATCTTTAAGTCATACCACAGATTCTCAATTGGATTGAGGTCTGGGCTTTGGCTAGGCCATTCAAATGTTTCCCCTTAAACCACTCGAGTGTTGCTTTAGCAGTATGCTTAGGGTCATTGTCCTACTGGAAGGTGAACCTCCGTCCCAGTCTCAAATCTCTGGAAGACTGAAACAGGTTTCCCCTCAAGAATTTCCCTGTATTTAGTGCCAACTATCATTCCTTCAATTCTGACCAGTTTCCCAGTCCCTGCTGATGAAAAACATCCCCACAGCATGATGCTGCCACCACGCTTCACTGTGGATGGTGTTCTCAAGGTGATGAGAGGTGTTGGGTTTGTGCCAGACATTTTCCTTGATGGCCAAAAAGCTCAATTTTAGTCTCATCTGACCAGAGTACCTTCTTCCATATGTTTGGGGAGTCTCTCACATGGATTTTGGCAAACACCAAACGTGTTTGCTTATTTTTTTCCTTTAAGGAATGGCTTTTTTTCTGGCCACTCTTCCGTAAAGCCCAGCTCTGTGGCTTGAAGTGGTCCTATGGACAGATACTCCAATCTCCACTGTGGAGCTTTGCAGCTCCTTCAGGGTTAACTTTGGTCTCTTTGATTAATGCCCTCCTTGCCTGGTCCGTGAGTTTTGGTGGGCGGCCCTCTCTTGGCAGGTTTGTTGTGGTGCCATATGTTTTCAATAATGGATTTAATGGTGCTCTGTGGGATGTTCAAAGTTTCTGATATTTTTTTATAACCTGTTACGTTCTCCCCTCGGGTGTAGTTCGCCTGAGGAGGAGATGTAAATGCCTGTGTCTGCACACACAAGGTAAACTAGATGGATGGGGAAGAAATGTGGGGTGTAATGAACTAAAATAACCAGATCTCAAGGTTAGCCCTCGGGGGACGTTTAATAAGGTACTAAAAATATATAACACCCTTAAAGAAACAGTAATGAAACAAAAATCAATCAAACAAACCAGGGAAGGTAAGAGAAGGGAATATTTGGGAACGGGGTCCAATTAATGAAAATAAACAAAAGGTCCCTCCTCTTCTACACACCTAATCCTTCCTATCACACTCGAACCCTAACCCACTTTCCTGCCTGTTTACCAAAAAATACAGGGGTGACACCCGCCCGGCTAACCTAGTGTATAAATCAATGGGTTATCTACGTGGGAATGTACACCCATGGGCATATCTACCTTTCCCTTCTCCAGGACCTAGGTAGGGTGGAGTACATCAGGAGGACAGGCTGGAACACAAACAAAGATAAATGAACACAACCAATACCCAAACAACAAGTGTCCTCTCCCTCCCTCTTCGAGCTCACACGGCAAACAGGTATACTCTCGTCAATCAGCTACAGCTACCAGGACTCTGGACCGAAGCCACACCCACCATCGTCAGCCGCAACTCAGCACACCTGTAATGCCCAGAACAAACAAACACACCACACAGGAAAATGGGGAGAAAGAAAAACACGTCACATAACCCAACCCTGATCTGTACTTCTCCACAACTTTGTCCCTGACCTGTTTGGAGAGCTCCTTGGTCTTCATGGTGCCACTTGCTTGGTGGTGCCCCTTGTTTAGTGGTGTTGCAGACTCTGGGGCCTTTCAGAACAGGTGTATATATACTGAGATCATGTGACACTTAAATAAAGTCCACCTGTGTGCAATCTAACTAATTATGCGATTTCTGAAGGTAATTGGTCGTACCAGATCTTATTTAGGGGCTTCATAGCAAAAGGGGGTGAATACAGATGCACGCACCACTTTTCCGTTATTATTTTTTTAGAACTTTGGTGTTCTGGTCAAACCCATCCATGCAGATCAGCAATACAAATTGACAAAAGCAATCATTAAATCAATCAGTCAGTCAGTCGGTCAATGAAAAAACATATTGTTATATTACCTATGTTGATTAAATCCGACCTATACTTTCCAAACCCAAAATCTCTCCAGAATCCAGCATCCTTCGTTATCACTTGTTGCAGAAAGACATAACATATAAGTATCATATAAAGAACACAATGTAATGTGTTATGCCTTTTGGCTGCATTTACACAGGTAGCTTGTGTAAACACAGCCTTTGACGGGATTTCCACACACATGTGCGGTAAGGGGACTGACCAGTTGTTGTTGAATAGAAGAGAGGGGACTGTGATTGTACTGGCTGAAGAGCAGTGGGTAGAACACTTTGTCACCAAAAGTTAGAAAAACAAACAAATGGCCTCCCGAGTGGCGCAGCGGTCTAAGGCACTGCATCGCAGTGTTGTGGCGTCACTACAGCCTGGTGTTCAGGCTGTGTCATTACCGGCTGTGACCGGGAGTCCCATAGGGAAGTGCACAATTGGCCCAAGCGTCGTCTGGGTTAGGGGAGGGTTTGGCCGGGGGGCTTTACTTGGCTCATCGTGCTCTAGCGACTCCTTGTGGCGGGCCGGGCGCCTGCAGGCTGACCTCGGTCATCAGTTGAACGGTGTTTCGTTCAACGTCAGTGCCCGACCATTTGCACTGCATGAGGCAAATGGTGGTCACACCTGCTACTGAATACTCTTGTTATGCTGGTACTTGTTATGAATTATGCTTATGCTTGCAATCTTGTTGAGCTGAGCTTTGCATTAAAACACTATAATAATTAGTAAATGAAGTGAAATTGGCTTTGATCCTGTTGCAGGACAGCTACCAGAGAGCTGAACAATGGTTCTAATTTAAATGAAGATATGCATCTTTATCCAATGAAAGGATCTTAACTGAAATACCATATCTACTCACGTATAAGTAAAATGATACTGAGATTCATATTTAACTAACATATGTCTCAGATTCACAGTTTGACATTAACTTTCGGATTTTACTCAGAGAAACTGACAAACAAGTCTGCAATCTACAAACCCTCAATAACAACATTAATTAATGACACATGACTTTCTCTCTCTCTCCCTTGCCCAACTCAGTCCTCCACTCATTTCATTAGACCCCTCAAGGGTTAGAATATGAAGAGACTGAGCTGTCAATGGCCTGCAGCTGAGCTTCACTCTGCTGTGCCTCTTCTCGTCCCCCTCTCTCTCTCTCATTAGCACCAAGAGGCAGAGGGAATTTTAGCTGTGGCGGGTGGTAGTCAATGTCTGAGGAGTTGCCTCCTCTTCCTCCCGTTCATTCACCTCACCATAATGGTACTGAATGAAAGGAGATTGGGAAAGGAGATGAGGAGAGAGGACTATTTGGACACAACTCTTCATTTTGAAACCCCCCTTTATAAATATTCAGTCTTTCTGACTGTGAAGTCTAATTAGTAGTGGGGAATGGGGAAATGACTTCAGAATGTTCTGACACCCTATACTAAAATCCTTACTAGATAATTGGTAGCTGTAGGATCAAGTGAGATGAAAACTTACATGCAGTATCTACATTCCAATTGAGCTCTACCGGATGAAACATATTTGTCCAACAGATGTGTTTAATTTTGATAAGACCATTATTAAAGAGTTTTTGTTCAAATAAAGACATATTCAGATTTGGAGATTACATGTAGGATAGGAAAGTAGCAGAACTGCATGTTGCCATGAGTGGCCTACAGAAATAAGACTTCAGATGTTACTCTTCCGTTTTACCAGAGGGGGGTGCTCAGTCCCCACACACAGACAACACCACACAAAGTAGTCAAGAAATAAACAACTTGTAAAGTAGTAAACTGAGATGAAGGGGAAACCCCTCCATTTATTAAAGTCATATTTATGTACACCAAAAACGTCGAATGTGGCTGGTGTGGGAAAAAGCAAACCTCTGTAGGTGCTGTAGTGGGTACTATAGTTAAAGATGGAATCCGCATCAGGGAAACAACCCCACTGTCCGCCCCAGCACCTTTGTTCTCGTTTTTGTTTTGTGGATGAAACGGAGGTTAGAAGTGTCGAGCAGTGTGGTAAAAAAAATTGCAGTATATATTCTGCTGTTCTATCGCGCGTGCAATGATGTCCGAGAGGGTAAAAAAAGTGTTCCACGTTGTAATATCCCAAACGGACTTGGGCAGTTTCACCATTAAGGATTCCAGCTTTAAGCAATAAGGCCCGATGGGGTGTGGTATATTTAAGCAATAATGTCTGAGGGGGTGTAGTATATTGGCCAATATACCACTGCTGTTCTTGGGCATGAAGCGGAGTGCCTTGATATAGCCGTTAGCCTGGTATATTGGCCATATATCACAAACCCTGCGGTGCCTTATTGCTATTATAAACTGGTTACCAACATAAATAGAAGAGTAAACAAGTATTTTTGCGTCATACCTGTGGCATATTGTCTGATATACACATGGCTGAAATACTGATTCAGCCAATCAGCATCCAGGACCCAAACTACCCGGTTTATCATTTTCTTTATCCCCTGGTCAATACTGTGCTGTACTTCATTGGCACAGTCACACATTACATAAGTGAAATCAAACAAAGCGATGTTTCAGTCCATTCTTAATAGAGACTTCAGGGGAGTGTTAATGTGCTTTTGTGCTCAATGTAGGCAGTGCTTACTTGGTCTGTGTTCGACTGGTAAAACAGTTTTAAAATACAGATTACTCCACAGAAATATGTGAAAAGGAGCCATTGAACACCACCATCAAGAAATGTAAAAACATATTATTCAAAAGTATACACTGTATTCCATCTGATTGAGCTGTTCTTGAGATATAATCACACAAAAACAATGAAACTCTCTAAACTACTGTAACTTGATTGAAATGTGAAGAACCCTTTGCTTTATGAAAGTCACATTACAGGTTTACTACACTAGTTATACGAAAGAAAACAGCAGGTATAGTGCCTTTGATTTCTTAGATGCCTCAATCCATCAATGTGATTGGTTAGGTATCAAAACCAGGCTGTCTGCATATCTCAGGACCACAATAGACTACTGAGCTAAAGCCTAGGTGTTAATGCTGGGAGCTAAAACAAGTCTTCAGGTGGTTATAAAACATGTGGGCATGGTTCACCAAACAACCTGCGCTCCACAGATATGTTGTAGAGAATAGTATTTTGCTACATTTGCTGTACTGTAGAATGGTAATAGGTTTACAAAAAACTTGTCAGAGTGTTAGAGTGCAAAACATGTCTACATACCAAAAAATAACAAGTTTAAGTCATTAAACAAAACAAAATGTGTGTGAGTGATACACATTATTCACATTCCCTCGATCCATGTACAACAATAGAAAACAAACATGGTATACATATGTTATAAACAAGAACTATAGCAAGTGATCCAAACAGACTCCTCTGTGCGACATAGAATACATACACAACACACAGGTAAACACAACATGCCGGTAGAACATCACTGTGTATTTTCTCAACCCCATGGTTCTTATAGTTCCACTCGTCTTCACACATTCATATCAACTGCCTGTTCCTCCCCTCTTCAAAGTGGAGAGTCTGGAGGTTTTCCTTCTTTCTGACTTTGGAACTAGCATGCACCTCTGAGGCAGTAAAAGAGAGAAAGAGAGAAGGTGAGAAAGAGTGAGAGTGAGTGAGTGAGAGTGAGAGAGAGCATAGAGACAACAGTAGAGAGGGAGAAAGAAAGACAGAGGGTGAGTGAGAGAAAAAGGGAGAGGGAGGAAGAGTGAGAGTCAGAGACAAAGAGAAAGAAAGAAAGTGACATGTGGGTATGGAGATATTATGTCAGAGAGTATAACCTCGTCCCCAGGCTATTGCGCACAATGCATATAAGCCTCGGATATCAACGATTCAAAGTCGGCCTTAGCGGGAGTGGACATAGAATTCTATGGGAGTGACCTTACTGAGTAAAGTATTTGTCATCATTTCATTTTAGCAATTCACACGACTGCGAGGCGTGACTCCAAATGGAGGCAGACACGTATGGAAGAGACATACGAGGGAGGTTTAGGGGGAAGGTGCTGTGGGAGATGATTGGTTGGTAGATTAAGCTGATTAAGCGAATGCCTATGCACTGGGAGTTTCTCCTGGCCTTTCTATTTGCTAAGTTTGACGCGTTGGTCCACCAGACTCTTCGCGCATTAAGGAGGAAGGTCTGGGAACGAGATTAGACAGAGTGTGGTGTAGACTCCTGTCTGTAGCTCTGTGTTGGTTGCTAGGTAACAGCAGTTATTATAGTCCTCTCCAGGTGGTAGCTAGGTTACACCATTTCACAGTCATCTGTGGATGGTTTCTAGGATACACCAGATAAGTGTCCACTTTCTGTTGGTTGCTAGGTTACACCAGATAACAGTGTCCTCTTCCTGTTGGTTGCTAGGTTACACCGGCTCGCGGAGCCACCTCCGTGCTGGATGCTATGGTTACACCAGTTCGTCCAGTAGTGTTCCTATGCTGTGGCGCTGTTCTGGGGGTCCTGCGATAAGTTTGTTACACATGGGGCACACACATCGCACCTCCAGCCATTTCACCAGACACCTGAGAAACACACCGAAATTATATTTGTTAAACATTCCAAGTAATTCTAATTGTTGACATCACAAAGAATACATCTTTACGAATATGCAAAACGTACTATATGTTATGAATTTGCTAGACGTATGTTATGTTACGAATTCCAGCCAGGTGGCTAACGTTAGCTAGCTGGCTAACGTTAGCTAGGCTAGGGGTTAGGGTTAAGGTTACGGTTAAGTTTAGGAGTTAGGGTTAAGGTTAGGGTTAGGGGAAGGGTTAGCTAACATGCTAAGTAGTTTCAAAGTAGCTAAAAAGTAGTAAGTAGTTGAAAAGTTGTCCGTAATGAGAATCGAATATGCAAACTTTGGGTTGCTAGACGTTCGCGTTATAAGCCCCCCCATCCACCCTGACCAACCACCCTACTTTCGTTTTTTGCCTTAAGTAACCTTCTGTCTTATGTAACCATACCAAACGTAACATATCATACTAATTTGAGTGCCCCGGATGTACATTTACTATGTTATGTAATCCCCTGTAGCTCAGTTGGTAGAGCATGCCGCTTGCAACGACAGGGTTGTGTGTTCTTTTCCCACGGGGTGAACTCACTAACTGTAAGTCGCTCTGGATAAGAGCGTCTGCTAAATGACTAAAATGTAAATGTAAAACGTTATGTCTAGTCTATGAGACTAGGCTGCATCTGTAAAATTCAGTCTAATTGATGACATCACAAAGGGTGCATTTGAAAAATTCTGTGTAATTAATTACACAACAAAGGTTGCAACTGATCATCACAAAGGGAATCCCAGAAAAATAGAGAATATCTGTCAAAGAAAAACAATGTTTCACATCAAAGGGCTTGAAATGGGATACACTAAAACAGGGATGGGCAACTTTGCCGGGGGTGGGGGCCACAAACAATCTGAACTCATTATGAGGGGCCGCAGTTGCTCGCGGATCTGCGTACCCACATCATCATTTGCATGATATCTGAGTGAGACTGACAAACAAAATTAATGCGGGCCCCCCCAGCCGGTAATTCGACCATGATAACAAGTTTAGATAGCTGGCCGCTAAACTAACTTAGCAGTCTTAAAAATGTTAGCTGACATGGGCTAATTGACTGACTATCAGTGACTGACATAAGAAGATAAAAACGACTGATGCACAACCAAATTTCTAAATTGCACCTTGTGTATTCTACTATTCTAATTCGCAACAGTAAGTTGACACTCCGACTGAGTTCCACATTTTAGGGAAATTGATCCGAGGGACCTTCAAAAGGGGCGGGCCGCCAGTTGCCCATCCCTGCACTAAAGCGATCTTTACCAGAGATATATTTGGTCACCTACAAACAAGCAAGATTTCTGGCTCTCACAGACCTGTAACTTCTTCTTTAAGAGGCTCCTCTGTCCTCCACTCGTTACCTGTATTAATGGCACCTGTTTGAACTTGTTATCAGTATAAAAGACACCTGTCCACAAACACAAACAGTGACACTCCAAACTCCACTATGGCCAAGACCAAAGAGCTGTCAAAGGACACCAGAAACAAAATTGTAGACCTGCACCAGGCTGGGAAGACTGAATCTGCAATAGGTAAGCAGCTTGGTTTGAAGAAATCAACTGTGGGAGCAATTATTAGGAAATGGAAGACAAACAAGACCACTGATAATCTCCCTCGATCTGGGGCTCCACGCAAGATCTCACCCTGTGGGGTCAAAATGATCACAAGAACGGTGAGCAAAAATCCAAGAACCACACAGGGGGACCTAGTGAATGACCTGCAGAGAGCTGGGACCAAAGTAACAAAGCCTACCATCAGTAACACACTACGCCGCCAGGGACTCAAATCCTGCAGTGCCAGACGTGTCCTCCTGCTTAAGCCAGTACATGTCCAGGCCCGTCTGAAGTTTGCTAGAGTGCATTTGGATGATCCAGAAGAGGATTGGGAGAATGTCATATGGTCAGATGAAACCAAAATAGAACTTTTTGGTAAAAACTCAACTCGTCGTGTTTGGAGGACAAAGAATGCTGAGTTGCATCCAAAGAACACCATACCTACTGTGAAGCATGGGGGTGGAAACATCATGCTTTGGAGCTGTTTTTCTGCAAAGGGACCAGGACGACTGATCCGTGTAAAGGAAAGAATGAATGGGGCCATTGATCGTGAGATTTTGAGTGAAAACCTCCTTTCATCAGCAAGGGCATTGAAGATGAAACGTGGCTGGGTCTTTCAGCATGACAATGATCCCAAACACACCGCCCGGGCAACGAAGGAGTGGCTTCGTAAGAAGCATTTCAAGGTCCTGGAGTGGCCTAGTCAGTCTCCAGATCTCAACCCCATAGAAAATCTTTGGAGGGAGTTGAAAGTCTGTGTTACCCAGCGACAGCCCCAAAACATCACTGCTCTAGAGGAGATCTGCATGGAGGAATGGGCCAAAATACCAGCAACAGTGTGTGAAAACCTTGTGAAGACTTACAGAAAACATTTGACCTGTGTCATTGCCAACAAAGGGTATATAACAAAGTATTGAGAAACTTTTGTTATTGACCAAATACTTATTTTCCACCATAATTTGCAAATAAATTCATAAAAAATCCTACAATGTGATTTTCTGGAATTTTTTTTCTCGTTTTGTCTGTCATAATTGACGTGTAACTATGATGAAAATTACAGGCCTCTCTCATCTTTTTAAGTGGGAGAACTTGCACAAATGGTGGCTGACTAAATACTTTTTTCTCCCACTGTACCTCTCCAGTCAGGCAAGTACTGTCATTCTGTGAACTGGAAACATTTAACAACTGTGGGTATGTCAGTGAAATCACTCCATTCAAAACCCCCAAGATCTGTGTGCTGACTGTAGAAATGAATGGTGGTGACCTCCTGCCTCCTAATTTGGTACTCACTTCCTGTGAAAGGCATGTTGGCATGGCAACACACCCAGCTCGTCTTTGACTTTGAAGTCTTCCAGGCAGACAGCACACGTCTGCTGTGAGAGTGACAGAGAGGGGGACACGGGCGGAGGAGAGAATAGACAGGGAAGGATAGGTTTAGAAAGCAAGAGAGAGAACAAGAGAATGAGAGTGGCACAATGGGAAGAAAGAGGAGACAGAAAAAGGATAGATTGAGGCAGAGAGCGAGAGAAAGATAGAGTGAGAGAGCGAGAGCGAGAGCGAGAGAGAAAAAAAGGGTGAGAGAAGAGAGGTGGAGCGGTATAGAGGTTGAGGTGGCATAAGATATGTTTGATTATGTCCCACTACTAAGATTTAGACAAACTTCATCATACATAGTCACAATCAATAACATAAGTTAGATATAGTATTCTTACCCCATGGAGATTCAACTTCTTTGGATCTCCTTTTAAAACAACCTCTCTGTAGCCAAACCTCTCACTCTGGGCTTGGTGTCTTAGTTTACTGTGGGTGAACAAACACACAATGACCAACCATTTAGGGATGACTGTATGTAATTAGCAATAGTCTTTTTCGCAAGCAGTCCCAGTCCCCTTAAGACACAGAACTCAAATCAATCACTGTGCTTTTATTGGTTGGAGCAGTAAAGGTTAAATCCCACTAGTAGAACATTAATTAAATTGGTTTTCATTTCAAATGATGGTATTGGTATCCCAGAATGTAGCCTTGAGGCCTTTGCATCCCACCTAAGGACAACACTGGTCCATGCATCCTGTGGTTGGACTGTATGGCTTTACACTCTAGCCATGAAGGTAAATTAGGTCCTGAGAAATATCTAAGACCCCTCATGCACCCTTTCCCCCAGTTCACTACATTATTTTGGGATAACTCCATGCATATAACGCAAGTATCCTCACATTGTTCTATATGGCACAATGTTAGCAGTAATCAACAATAACAATAAACTGCTCAAAACAACAACTAGTGTTTCGCTGGGCTGTACATGTACATGCAGGCACGTGCACAAGTGTAAAAAAACACAGCCATAACAAGGACCCACAAAATAACCACCATAACAGACACAGTTAACCTAAATGATAAAGATCTGTTTGGAAAAAGTGTGTGTGTGTGTGGTAAACAATTTGGCTTTGACAATGTGATTCAATATCTACAGGTCAATATTTACATGGCCATACAGAGTATCACATACCCAATGTGAATTCTTCTGAGTTCATATTAAAAATGGCAGTTAATTAACAGTATCGCTCACACGTTCTCAACATTTTTAACACCGTTTTCATAACAATATCACCACTTCTCTATTGACTACCCTCTCTCCCTCACTTTCTCCTCTGATGAATAGATCTACAAACTATACTGAACAAAATATAAAAGCAACATATAAAGTGTTGGTCCCATGTTTCATGAGCTGAATGAAAAGATCCCATAATCTTTCCATACGCACAAAAAGCTTATTTCGCTCAAATGTTGTGCACAAAATTGTTTACATCCCTGTTAGTGAACATTTCTCCTTTGCCAAGATAATCCATCCACCTGACAGGTGTGGCATATCAAGAAGCTGATTAAACAGCATGATCATTACACAGGTTAACCTTGTGCTGGGTATAATAAAAGGCCACTCTAAAAGGTGCAGTTTTGTCACACAACACAATGCCACAGATGTCTCAAGTTTTGAGAGAGCATGCAATTGGCATGCTGACTGCAGGAATGTTCACCAGAGCTGTTGCCAAAGAATTGAATGTTAATTTCTCTACCATAAGCCGCCTCCAACGTCGTTTTAGAGAATTTGGCAGTACGTCCAACCGGCCTGACAACCACAGACCACGTGTAACCACACCAGCCCAGGACCTCCACATCCGGCTTCTTCACCTGCAGGATTATCTGAGACCAGCCACCCGGACAGCTGATGAAACTGAGGAGTATTTCTGTCTGTAATAAAGCCCTTTTGGGGGGGAAAAACGAATTCTGATTGGCTGGGCCTGGCTCCCCATTGGGTGGGCCTGGCTCGCCAGTGGGTGGGCCTATGCCTTCCCAGGCCCACCCATGGCTGCGCTCCTGCCCATTCATGTGAAATACATAGATTAGGGCCTAATGGATTTATTTCAATTGACTGATTTCCTTAGATATCTGTAACTCATTAAAATTGTTGAAATTGTTGCATGTAGCATTTATATTTTTGTTCAGTATATTTACAACCATAAATAAAATACACAAAGTGAAATGAAATACCATGCCACAGATACCATATCTGTGATTAGTATGGAACTAGTGTATATGATTTTCCCTTGATTCTTCCAGTCAGAGCTATTTGGTTTTGCTGTTAAATGAACCCCAGCTTTTATAACGATGGACCCTCAGCCTGGATGCCATGCAGCATTCGTGTCAGATGACACTGTGGAGAATGTTCTCTCTCCTTCTCCCTCTCTTTCTCTAAGGCTTTTATTCTGACCCAGCACTTACACCAGCAAATGCTAAGCTACAGGACTGTTTTGCTAGCACAGACTGGAACATGTTCCGGGATTCTTCAGATAGCATTGAGGAGTACACCACATCAGTCACTGGCTTCATCTATAAGTGCGTTGATGATGTCGTCCCCACAGTGACCGTACGTACATACCCCAACCAGAAGCCATGGATTACAGGAAACATCCGCACTGAGCTAAAGGGTAGTGCTGCCGCTTTCAAGGATCGGGACTCTAAACCGGACGCTTATAAGAAATCCCGCTATGCCCTCCGATGAACCATCAAACAGGCAAAGAGTCAATACAGGACTAAGATTGAATCGTACTACACCGGCTCTGACGCTCGTCGGATGTGGCAGGGCTTGAAAACTATTACAGACTACAAAGGGAAGCACAGCCGCGAGCTGCCCAGTGACACAAGACTTCCAGACGAGCTAAACCACTTCTATGCTCGCTTCGAGGCAAGCAGCACTGAAGCATGCATGAGAGCACCAGCTGTTCTGGATGACTATGTGATCACGCTCTCCGTAGCCGATGTGAGTAAGACTTTTAAACAGGCCATCCAGGACCTCTATACCAGGCGGTGTCAGAGGAAGGCCCTCAAAATTGTCAAAGACTCCAGCCACCCTAGTCATAGACTGTTCTCTCTGCTACCGCACGGCAAGCGGTACTGGAGTGCCAAGTCTAGGTCCAAAAGACTTCTCAACAGCTTCTACCCCCAAGCCATAAGACTCCTGAACAGCTAATCATGGCTACCCGGACTATTTGCACTGCCCCCCCACCCCCATCTTTTTACGCTGCTACTACTCTGTTAATTATTTATGCATAGTCACTTTAACTCTACCCACATGTACATATTACTTCAACTACCTCAACTAGCCGGTGCCCCCACACATTGACTCTGCACCAGTACCCCACTGTATACAGTGGGGAAAAAAAGTATTTAGTCAGCCACTATTTGTGCAAGTTCTCCCACTTAAAAAGATGAGAGAGGCCTGTAATTTTCATCATAGGTACACGTCAACTTTGAAAGACAAATTAAGAAAAAAAAATCCAGAAAATCACATTGTAGGATTTTTTATGAATTTATTTGCAAATTATGGTGGAAAATAAGTATTTGGTCACCTACAAACAAGGAAGATTTCTGGCTCTCACAGACCTGTAACTTCTTCTTTAAGAGGCTCCTCTGTCCTCCACTCGTTACCTGTATTAATGGCATCATTATATTTTTATATTATTATATTATTATATTATCTGTTTGAACTTGTTATCAGTATAAAAGACACCTGTCCACAACCTCAAACAGTCACACTCCAAACTCCACTATGGCCAAGACCAAAGAGCTGACAAAGGACACCAGAAACAAAATTGTAGACCTGCACAAGGCTGGGAAGACTGAATCTGCAATAGGTAAGTAGCTTGGTTTGAAGAAATCAACTGTGGGAGCAATTATTAGGAAATGGAAGACATACAAGACCACTGATAATCTCCCTCGATCTGGGGCTCCACGCAAGATCTCACCCCGTAGGGTCAAAATGATCACAAGAACGGTGAGCAAAAATCCCAGAACCACACGGGGGGACCTAGTGAATGACCTGCAGAGAGCTGGGACCAAAGTAACAAAGCCTACCATCAGTAACACACTACGCCGCCAGGGACTCAAATCCTGCAGTGCAAGACGTGTCCGCCTGCTTAAGCCAGTACATGTCCAGGCCTGTCTGAAGTTTGCGAGAGTGCATTTGGATGATCCAGAAGAGGATTGGGAGAATGTCATATGGTCAGATGAAACCAAAATAGAACTTTTTGGTAAAAACTCAACTCGTCGTGTTTGGAGGACAAAGAATGCTGAGTTGCATCCAAAGAACACCATACCTACTGTGAAGTATGGGGGTGGAAACATCATGCTTTGGGGCTGTTTTTCTGCAAAGGGACCAGGACGACTGATCTGTGTAAAGGAACGAATGAATGGGGCCATGTATCATGAGATTTTGAGTGAAAACCTCCTTCCATCAGCAAGGGCATTGAAGATGAAACGTGGCTGGGTCTTTCAGCATGACAATGATCCCAAACACACCGCCCGGGCAATGAAGGAGTGGCTTCGTAAGAAGCATTTCAAGGTCCTGGAGTGGCCTAGCCAGTCTCCTAATCTCAACCCCATAGAAAATCTTTGGAGGGAGTTGAAAGTCTGTGTTGCCCAGCGACAGCCCCAAAACATCACTGCTCTAGAGGAGATCTGCATGGAGGAATGGGCCAAAATACCAGCAACAGTGTGTGAAAACCTTGTGAAGACTTACAGAAAATGTTTGACCTGTGTCATTGCCAACAAAGGGTATATAACAAAGTATTGAGAAACTTTTGTTATTGACCAAATACTTATTTTCCACCATAATTTGCAAATAAATTCATTAAAAATCCTACAATGTGATTTTCTGGATTTTTTTCTTCTCATTTTGTCTGTCATAGTTGACGTGTACCTATGATGAAAATTACAGGCCTCTCTCATCTTTTTAAGTGGGAGAACTTGCACAATTGGTGGCTGACTAAATACTTTTTTTCCCCACTGTATATAGCCTCCCTACTGTTATTTTATTTTACTTCTGCTCTTTTTTTCTCAACACTTTTTTGTTTTATTTTACTTTTTTATAAAAAATAAATGCACTGTTGGTTAAGGGCTGTAAGTAAGCATTTCACTGTAATGTCTGCACCTGTTGTATTCGGCTCATGTGGCCAATAACATTTGATTTGATTTGATTTGTTATTGTGTGTTGCTGCACCAGAGTTAGCCATTAAGCTAATTTGGGCAGTAATATACTTTAGCCTACCACCATAAAACAATACAGAAAATACAATACCGTTATGTTGAACCCTGCTCCCCTTGCTCCAGTGACGTATTTCCTTACACTGTGGCAGGCAGCTTCCTGCCACCTTATTTCCTGTCCTTCGGACACAATCGTCCCCTCAGCTCAAAAATCAGGGAGTTCATTGTCAACAGAAGAAAAGGTCACACTCTCTCTCTGTATTCAACCCTGTATTCCCTTGGTGTCCTTGTCACCTCTCTCTCTCTCTCTCTCAAAGGGTATCACAGAGGTGAGCATGTGGACTGCTCTGTGCAGCTGCAGCATGTCTGTGTACATATCTGGACTCCCACTCTTACCCCCATCTGCTGTTAGCTGCCAACAGGCTCTCTGACCCACTATTCTATTCTGATCTATTATATCCCCCTCTGTACCAAGTTCACCTGATGAAGTAGCAGCAGAAGATGAGGCTGAGGATGAAGACAAAGATGCCTGTTCCGAAGATGACCATGTAGATGTTGAGGGGCAGGTCCTGGAAGGTGATGGGAGGCATGGTGCACGACTTGTTGGAGTAGACCAGGCCCAGACCACAGAAGCACCCTACACAGGGGACGGGAACAGGGTTTAGAACATAGAAGCACTTTCAGGATTAAGAGGTGACATGTACAGTGCCAAGAGTTCAGAGGCATGTTGAAGAGGGAATAAACACAGGGTTTAGACTACCCCCCCCCCCCCCACGGAAGACCCTGCCATCCCAGCTGAGGGTCAGGGTTGCCAGTGTTGCAGCTGTGTCCGCCTCTGATACAAGCCAAGCAGAGAAACTACAGATACACACATGCACGCACGTACACACACACCTCACTGTCTCTCAAATGAAGTACAATGAAACACATCTCAGCTCCAAGAAAGACCATGGCTAAAACATGACAAACAGTTTCCTGACATCTCTGCTGCAATATAATGGTACAGTAGACCTTGAGCTGTTCCATTCCCTGACTGAAACAAGGTTTTTCTACTAAGTTTTTATTGGAGGCAAAGTTAAGAGACTGGCTACATAACTACATAGATAATACACAACACAGTGGTATCTAGGCAACTGGTCTATTTTATACAAGGCATAACCTAATTTCTAAGACTCACAACAGATCATTTGATAAAAACAGAGAACAGAAGAGATAATGGCGTTGATGAAAAGGCAATTTAGGCTGCTCAATTAATTTAAATTCATTTCTTGTTTTGCCATAAAATAAACATTTTTACATTACATTTTAGTCATCTAGCAGACGCTCTTATCCAGAGCGACTTACAGTTAGTGAGTGCATACATTTTTTAATTTTTTTATACTGGAATCGAACCCACAACCCTGGCGTTGCAAATGCCTTGCTCTACCAATTGAGCTACATCCCTGCCGGCCATTCCCTCCCCTACCCTGGGCCAATTGTACGCCGCCCCATGGGTCTCCCGGTCGCGGCCGGCTACAACAGAGCCTGGATTCAAACCTTAGACCACTGCGCCACTCGGGAGGACGAGTATTATAAACCATATAATGAGCAAATATACAATCTGATTTATCAACAATGAAAAATGAGTCTTGCCAGACACGAATGTCAAGAGGACGAAGGAAAATATGAATTTGCTCAAAACAAATGAGGATGTATGGCGCTTGCCCGGTAACTGCTCTGGCCTTTCCCCGTTAATTGCTACAGTGGGGTTTCCTTTAACGAAACACAAAGACCTTTACAATGCCCCCATTCCTCACAATAACCCATCACTACTTACACACCTGCTCATCAAAGACACACATCTACATAGAAATAGAGTAATAAGATTTTTTGATTATATTTTTATGCACATCTTCTCACCAGTTAAATCCATGCAGAGAAGGTTGGTCCACCCATGTGTGTGTTCTCTGCAGCTTCTAAAATGGGTGTTGTATGTAGCATTCAAGCCAGTCGATGACCAGCTGAAAGGTAGAGGGGTGAGAGGTGGGGGAGTTAGACAGTAGGAAGGCGGAGACAGGAGTAACTGTGGGGGAGAGAGGAAGGTTGACCATGGAGAATGAATAAGACACGGACAGGCTGACAGAGAGGTCTTTGTGTGAGCCAGGTCACATGACCACTGCCTGCAAGTCTGAACTACAGCCATTTCAAGTCAGTATGTAATAGGTACATATTCATTCAGCATAATTGTGTGCAGAATCATTTTTAGCAGTTTAATTAAATCAGGGATTTCATTTTGTTCCTTGAATTTGAACAAAATTGACCTCTGATATTTCTAATAACTCATCAACGAAATAAAACAACAATGAAATCTCTCTCTCTACCCCTCTCTTCCTCAGAGTACTTCCATGGATAGGAATCAATATCCATGCCTCTTAGCTTCATTTAGTCAGAATGAGAGGCGATCCTCCATTTACTGAGAGGCTTGATGTTTCAGGTTTGTTTCCTCCTGTCAGATTACTCGACTCTGCTGGAAGCAATCAATACCAGACACTCTGATGTCTGTCTAATCCTCCACACACACACACACACACACACACACACATTCCCTTACTCACTCACTCACACACCAGCTCCAGTAACTCCTCTACAGCTGAACTCTCGGTGGACTAGGCTTAGTGTCGTGAATGAGACCAGGTTGATTGTCTTTGTTTTTGGTTAGTCTCGTGACAATGTTTCTGTGTAGTCATAGCAGTCTCATCATGAGTGGACATGTCAAAAGGAGAGTGGAGAATGTTAGGGAACAGTGATAAACTGGATAGAGATAATTATAGGTTGCTCTAGTTCTGAAGACACAAAGTGACTCATCCAGCCATCATACATTACATCTCTATGTACAGTTGAAGTCGTAAGTTTACATACACTTAGGTTGGAGTCATTAAAACTCATTGTTCAACCACTCCACACATTTCTTGTTAACAAACTATAGTTTTGGCAAGTCGGTTAGGACATCTACTTTCTGCATGACACAAATAATTTTTCCAACAATTGTTTACAGACAGATTATTTAACTCAGAATTCACTGTATCACAATGCAAGTGGGTCAGAAGTTTACATAAACTAAGTTGACTGTGCCTTTAAACAGCTTGGAAAAATCCAGAAAATGATGTCATGGATTTAGAAGCTTCTGATAGGCTAATTGACATCATTTGAGTCAATTGGAGGTGTACCTGTGGAATATATTTCAAGGCCTACCTTCAAACTCAGTGCCTCTTTGCTTGACATCATGGGAAAATCAAAAGAAATCAGCCAAGACCTCAGAAAAAAAATTGTAGACCTCCACAAGTCTTGTTCATCCTTGGGAGCAATTTCCAAATGCCTGAAGGTACCACGTTCATCTGTACAAACAATAGTATGCAAGTATAAACACCATGGGACCACGCAGCCATCATACTGCTCAGGAAGGAGACGCTGTTCTGTCTCCTAGAGATGAAAGTACTTTGGTGCGAAAAGTGCAAATCAATCCCAGAACAACAGCAAAGTACCTTGTGAAGATGCTGGAGGAAACAGGTACAAAAGTATCTATATCCACAGTAAAACGAGTCCTATATCGACATAACCTGAAAGGCCGCTCAGCAAGGAAGAAGCCACTGCTCCAAAACCGCCATAAAAATGCCAGACTATGGTTTGCAACTGCACATGGTGACAAAGATCGTACTTTTTGGAGAAATGTCCTCTGGGCAGAACTGAAAAAGCGTGTGGGCAGAACTGAAAAAGCGTGTGCGAGCAAGGAGGCCTACAAACCTGACTCAGTTACACCAGCTCTGTCAGGAAGAATGGGCCAAAATTCACCCAACTTATTGTGGGAAACTTGTGGAAGGCTACCCGAAACGTTTGACCCAAGTCAAACAATTTAAAGGCAATGCTACCAAATACTAATTGAGTGTATGTAAACTTCTGACCCACTGGGAATGTGAAATAAATAAAAGCTGAAATAAATAATTCTCTCTACTATTATTCCGACATTTCACATTCTTAAAATAAAGTGGTGATCCTAACTGACCTAAGACAGGGAATTTTTACTAGGATTAAATGTCAGGAATTGTGAAAAACTGAGTTTAAATGTATTTGGCTAAGGTGTATGTAAACTTCCGACTTCAACTGTATAATGATGACACACACACATTACTAACAGAGAATGAGAGCATCTATCATTAGTGTGTGTGTGGAGAGAGAAGTCTGTGAATACAGGGCTAAGGTCTTATTCCTCTGTTTAGGGGACGTCTATTAGACATGGCCCTCTGTGTGTGTGTGCGTGTTTGTGTGTGCGTGTGTGTGTGTGTAACAGAGGTTGTTTCATGAAGGGCGAGAGAGAGATAAAGCTCTTCACAGAGAGAGAGAGTTCTTCTGTGTATTCATATCTGTTCACAGTTGATGACATCACCTGCGACGCCTCCGCAGACTTGAATGTGGGTCATATGAATGCCTCTCTGTGTGTGTGTGTGTGTGTGTACACAGTAGCTAAATGACTGTTTTATGAGAGGAGCCCCCCATGATCACTGACCTATATTGCCACTCTCCAGAGGCACCCCATTGCCATGGCACCAGAGCCAGCGGATGCAGAGAGAACTCTGCTTGAACAGTCTCATTCTAAAACTGTCCCCCTGCTCCAACAGTCCAGAACTACTCCTCTATTCTAACATTCTAAATCTAGAACTGTGCCCTCGTTGGCACTAATGTTCTCATTCTGAACTGAGCGGATTTCTCAATTAACCGTAAGTGTGCAAGACACCATTAACATTTTCATAAAGGGTAAAAGCTTGGGTACTGGGTAGTAATGGCTTTTGTACATTTAAGGAGAGGTTTAAGGACTACGCTCACACAAAGCCTGTACTGCTGCCTCCTTTTACAATCAAAGCTTCTATCAAATATTAATCAGCTCACATGAACACAAGCACTCATCTGAGCTGCTGGTTGTCAAGAAAAATATAAGGACGACACCAAACATCAATAACCACACGCAGGTCAGTCTGTGTAGAGTACGTTAGACACTATACAGACACAAGCATAGACACAAGGTGGATGCTAAAGGTCCACCCTCTGCACCCGCTCTTAGAAATCTTCAGATCATAAGTATTCTCAATTCAGGGGCATGTTAGAATTTCTAAACCAGCTGTATACCGCCACATATATAATTTACTGATGGTGAATACTAGTAGCTATGTGTAATGGTAGCCGTCAATTTAATAGCATATGTTTTTCCTGTATCCTATCGTTCCTGGTCACATGTAACATTTTGTGCACAGATGCAATGTAGGCCTGTAGTTGCATGTCATTCTGATCTCCTGACCTACAGAATGAGGATATACTAGCCTCGTTGCAAGTCTGTTTTCACTTCCAGCTCTTTGGCATTGCCATGTTATTATGGCTCTGGCGATACAGTCCTAGTCTGGATGATACCAAACTCGACGTCCTCTGACTTCTCTCTTGCTGTATACCCCGTGTGTCGCGTCTGCCAGGCTAATACAGTACCTCTCCAGGAATACAAATCTCCACTGTATAGTGTCCTGAAAAGATAGTCAATCACAGTCCTTAACTGGAGCTCTTACTGAGTGTGGAGATTCGCCTCCAGCAATTCAATCATCAGTAAACGTCACTTAAAGTAATGTCAAGGCCATGGGAAACAACTCTGATATTGTCAGGAGTGTTTGGCATGATATTCAGAGCAGGACCAAATGGTCTGGCATACCTTGTCTTAGTCTGCATCCTGATGGAGCCTTTACATCAGAATCATGTTTGTTTTTTAAAGAAAAAAAAAACATTTCCAAACTTCCAACAAGTGGCTGGTAGGCAAACTAGGCATGACATTCAGTCCAAGTCAAGATATCTCAGAATAACATGTGCACACCAATATAGTTACATATTTTATAAATTCAAAAAAATTGAATGCACATTTTATGTAAAAAATGTACAAATACTTGAACTAGCCAAACACTGGACCACTGAGAGTCTAAAGAAAGGGTGTGAATTCCAAGCATCTTCATTCTCCAACCAAACCACTTTGAATTTCACCACGATAGTTATTTCTAAGAGCATCAAGGAGATTACATGAAAGTTGCAGAGCTATGGCAAGGATCATGAATAAGCAAGCAAACAGCATTAAGAAAGCAATGAGATTACATGACACATAATGAAGGGGTTAATTATTGAAAAAGCAATAGCAGGTCAAACCCAACTTGAGTTGCCCCGTAAGAGCTTTAGTCGATAGCAAGTGCACTGCATAAATATAATATGAGTGTGTGAATAAATAATTGATTGATAGATTAAACATGTAAAATGACTACCAGTTTAAAGCTGCAATATGTAACCTTTTGGGCGACCTGACCAAATTCACATAGAAATGTGAGTTATAGATCTGTCATTCCAGTGGAGGCTCCTCAGAGGAAGGGGAGGACCATCCTCCTCAGTGAATTTCCTAAAAATTAAAATTGTAAAACATTTAAAAAGTGATCCTTTTTAGATAAAACTATACTAAATATAATCACGTCACCAAATAATTGATTAGAAAACACTATTTTGCAAAGGTCTACAGTAGCCTCAACAGCACTCCGTAGGGTAACACCATGGTTCTCACCCCCTTCCATAGACTTACACAGTAATTATGACAACTTCCAGAGGACGTCCTCCAGCCTATCAGAGCTCTTTCAGCATGAACTGACATGTTGTCCACCCAATCAAAGGATCAGAGAATGAATCTAGTACTGAAAGCATAAACTACAGCTAGCTAGCACTGCAGTGTATAAAATGTGGTGAGTAGTTGACTCAAAGAGAGAGAAAGACAATAGTTAACAGTTTTGAACAAATTAATTTATTCCAAAACAAAGGGAAAGCAAGAGAGAAAGTCATTTATTTTCAGTTTCAGTTTCACCTACTTAGCTAGCAAATGCAGCTAGCTAGTTTAGCCTACTGAAACACCCTGCTCAAACAGAGGGATGCTATGATAGCTAGCTGGCTATGACTTTCCAACACAACACTGGAACTCTTCCAAGGTAAGCTTTTGGTATTACTAATTTATTGCCACCGGGGTCCGCTGGTGTAACTGCTTACTGACTGTACACTAATGTTACTGCATGATTGTAGCAGGTTTACTAATGCGTTAGATATAATAGCTATGCTGACTTTACCTTAGCTAATATGGTGACAACAATGTAGGCTGTGTGTAGAGGTTTTGGCTTGGAAAGGTTTTTTCGCCTGGTCACATACAGCTGATGTGTTGTGCATTGAAGTCGACAAGCAAAGGGAAGAGGTGGGAGGAGGAGAGCGCATAGATGCGACAAGGAATACAATGTGGCTGCTATGAAAGTGAACTGTGTTTATGCGTGATCAGGGGTGTGATCAACCGATTCTGTTGAAAAATGTTTCTTAAAACGGAAGCAAACGGAACAAAACGTGGATAAACATACCTGAATTTTTCCAATAGAAACTCCTGTTTACAATGTTGGACTAATGATCACACCCTATATCAGCTAGATGCAGGCAAGAGTGTGCAAGGTGGTATTGAATGTCACGGTCTGTCCATGTGTCACTGTCTGTGACCTCAAATTTGTCTCTCGACCTGTGTGCACCTACGTTGTATAGGCCAGGTTGTAGCAACCTCATGATGGGTATAGGGAAAATTTGAGTATCATGTAGTAGTCTAAACCTATTGGTGTTACATTGAACTGGGTGAATGGAATATGAATGAGAGTCATCCAATATGCTGGGATAGAAATAAGGCCATGCTCATGAAAAAAAAATCGTCCTCCCTCATCTTAAATGGCACTGACCACCACAGTTTCATTCTCATCGAAAGCAAGTCTAAGAAGCAGTAGATCTGTTTTATGTGTGCTATTTCTATGCTTCCCATTCTTAAGTTTCATTTTTGCGTATTTTACTTTCGGTTTTGTACACCAGCTTCAAAACAGCTGAAAATACAATATCTTTGGTTATGGAAAATATATTTCACAGGGGTTTAAAATGGTATAATGATTCTCTACACTATACTTGCTTGTTTTGTCAAATAACCTGAAATTAGGTGAACTACAACCAGGAAATGGCGGAGCGATTTCTACATAGTGCACCTTTACATTTTGCCATTTAAATTGAACCAATCCCACTGGAAGCAATAGGATTCCATTGTGACACAAATAGCCTATCTTCCATTCAGCCTATAGCCTACTGTGGGCCAGGGCGTCAGTTGGTTATGTCAGGCCATACCCTATCTCAATACCAACAATTTAAAATAGGCTGCTAAAATCATTCCAATCCAGATTAAGGTTTTGGGACCATGAGGAAGCCTGGGAGTGGGAGGGAAGGGAGCGCGAATCTACACAGCTGCAGGGAACAGTGTAACTTCTTCTCAAAACAGTACAGAGGTAAAGATGACTGTAGTAGATGGCTTTGGCTAGGTATCTACTCTTTGACTTGACAGGAAATTAAACTAGTTTTAATCCATGGGCTGAGCTAGTGCATAGTAGCTCATTCCTGTATGAGGTGTTTGTAGAATGTTACATCCCCTATTGACTGAGGTGAATGAAGCTACAGCAACAAGGTGATCATGGCTGGAGTACAGTTTTCTTGTTTTTGCATTTTTGATGTTTTTAAATTGTGTAGAAATGCAGTAAATGAGCTTCAATTTTATACAAATTCCTTGCCCCCTCAACTCCCGTCACTTTGCCATATCATAGGTTTAGCTGAAATGACGCCCCTGCACGTAGGCTAATACAATTAAAGAAAACGACAATGCCTTGTATTGCAAAATAATATTGCAATCTCATTCATTCTTGTCATCCAAATCTACCCAAATAGAATGCATTTTTTTTTTTTATCTCATTTTCCAAAATGGTCTAATAAACCCTTGAAATAACAGTGGCATACCTAGGTATTCGCATTAAACACAGAGTTCGGTCAACATCAGATGCCCAGTGATAGGCTACATAATGAAATGAACGCTCACCGTTACACCACTGAAACGGGTGCATTAATGCACAGGAGGGGGTCCTGGATGAGAAAGGATTCGTGTTCATCAACAAACGGTTGATATTACAGTGGCCGTGGGGCCTGTCCGCAGTATCTGCAGTTAGCTGTTTTCAAATCACCTTATGATTCGGTATTCAGGCAAAAATTGACAATTTAACCTAGATCCAAAAAAACACATTATTGCGCTAAATGCCGGCTATCTGTAATGTTGTTGACGTAAAAAAAATATTTAAAAAACAATTTACGCGGCGGTTCATCATTGAGATGGTGTTGTTGCCATCTACGAAAATAAATTCCACCCTTCCACAGTTCAATTAAATAGTCTAGCACTGATGTATCCTTCATGAATTGGATCTATTGGCAAGCGGCTTCAATCTGATCCAGCATCTGTGGCGAAGAGAACACTGGATCATTTATTCCTACACCCCCACCCAAACGCGATAGACATCCAGATGGTCCAATCGCTACATGTCCTGGTCCCGTTGGGAACCACGGTTTGAACCCAGTCTGTTGGCGTCGTTCTGTTGTGTGACGGTGGATGGGATTGCAGGCTCACATGCTATGTTATAAGATTGTGCCAGGAGGTTGCATTAATTTCAACAATAATATCAATTACTCCCGGCAGCAATCT